CAGATAGAGACACAATACTGCAAGCAGCAAGGTCAAAGAAGGAAATCACATACAAAGGAGCACCCCTTAGATTTAAAGCAGGCTTATCAAAGGAAATCATCCGAGCCCAAAGACAGTGGTGGGATATAGTTAAAAAAAAAAACAAAACAATGAAATGAACGCCCCATCAAGAATACTTTATCTGACTAGACTTTCATTCAGACTCGAAAGAACCATACACTATTTCGTGGATAAACAACAGCTCAGGAACTTCATAGACTCAAAACCAAACTTGAAAGAAAGACTGAAGGGGCTACTGTAAGACAAGACAAACCCCAGAAGCACAACAAACCTCTACAGATAGATGGCACAAAACCCCATAACAATAATCTCTCTCAATGTCAATGGTCTAAATACACCAATTAAGAGATACAGTGGCAAATTGAATTCAGAAACTGAACCCAACATTCTGCTGCCTACAAGAAACACATCTGAACAGTCAGAGCAAACACGACCCAAAGTCAAAGGATGGAAAACAATCCTACAAGCAAACGGCTCCCTCAAAAAAGCAAGGATGGCCATACTAGTATCCGACAACATAGATTTCAGGCTGAAAAAGATTAAAAGGGACAGCAAAGGCCAATTTTTTAATAATCAAGGGATATGTACAACAGAAAGAAACTACACTCCTAAATATATACGCACCCAATGAGGGACCAGCAAAATACTTAAAGCTACTGCTAATAGACTTTAAGGAGGACACTAGTAGCAACATAATAGTAGTCAGAGATTTCAACACTGCCCTGTCACCCCTTGATAGATAAACAAGACTAAACCTCAGAGTAAGGAAGTACTGGCTCCGAAAGAAAAGATGGAAGAGAAAGATTTAATAGACATATACAAGGCTTTTCATCACCAAAAAGCCAAATACACATTCTTCTCCAGCGAACATAAAACATTTTCCAAGATAGAACACATGCTAAGTCACAAAACATGCCTCAACAGAATTAAGAAGATAGACATCTTATCAGCTATCCTTTCAGACCACAATGCACTTAAGATAGAAGTTAATCACTCACAAAAACGAAGAATCAACTAAAACATCTGGAAATTAAACAGGAAGACCTGATTGTTTAATTTCCAGTTAAACAAAACCAACTAGACTTCACAGGTTAGGATATTAGAAAACGACCTAAAGGAGCCCAAACCAGACTGGAAGAAAGAAATAATAAAACTTAAAGAGCAGAAATCAACAAGCTGGATTCCCAAAAAACAATCCAAAAGATCAATGAAACCAGGAGCTGGTTCTTTGAAAAAATAAACAAGACTGATAAAACACTAGCAAGACTCACAAAGAAAAAGAGAGAAAGAACCCTAATAAACCTGACCAGAAATGAAAAGGTGGGCATCATGATAGAAAACACAGAAATTCAAAAGAGATTACTTTGAGAGCCATTAAACACGGTCACAGTCACAGTCCTCCCATTGTTCATCAATTTGCTCGAGCAGGCCCAGTAACATCTTCATCGTGAGACTTGTTACTGTATTTGGAATATTGAATACGTCACGGGTAGCATGCCAGGCTTTGCCATGCGGGCGAGATACTCTCAGAAGCTTGCCAGGCTCTCCGAAAGGGGTGGAGGAATAGAACTCGGGTTGGCCATGTTGGCTGCATGCAAGGCAAACGCCCTACCCGCTGTGCTATCGCTCCAGCCCACCATTAAACTAAAGAACCTAAAAAAAATTGATTAATTCCTGGATTCCTACAATCTCCCAAGGCTGAACCAAGAATATGTGGAATATTTGAATAGACCTATCACTAGTTGGAAACTATCACCCGATCTGCCTGTTGTCCATCGTCTACAAGCTGTTCACTGGAGTCATCCTGAATAGGATTGGCAGAACACTAGATGAAGGACAACCATGTGAGCAAGTCAGGTTCCAAAAAGGGTTCAGCACAATCAACCATATCCACATGACGACCAAGCTCAATGAGGTTTCTCAGGAGCTCAAGATGCCTCTCTGTCTAACGTTCATTGATTTAAAAGAAGGCCTTTCATTCTGTTGAGACTGAAGCAGTCAGTGAAGCCCTAGCCAAACAGGGCATTCAAACTCAGTACATCAGGATCCTCCATGAGCTGTATTACAGATTCACCACCAGGATCTCACCATTCTACAAGAAAGTGATCATCCATGTCAAGAGAGGGGTTCGGCAGGGCAATACCATTTCACCAAAACTCTTCGTGCTACCCTCGAGAATGCCATGCGAAGACTGAAATGGGAAGGAATGGGAGTGAAGATAGATGGTTGGCAACTACACCACCCCTGCTTCACTTAAGACATCGTTCTAATAACACCTAACATTAGCCAAGTGGCACAAATTTTAGAATTCCTGGCCACATTTGCAGTGGTGCAACGTTTTATTAGTTGTTAATCTTATACAAGGGCTTACTGGCTCCAGGGTGAGAGACAACAATCTTCACAGACTTTCCTCTAAGGAAACTTTTTTGGATTATTTTTAGCGGATTATTCATAACAAGCAATACAAAATAAATATTTAGGATCTGCTTTGGGGACAGGGTTTGGGAATTGGGGTAGAAACTTTGAAAATATGGTGGTGGGTAGGTGTAATGGTGGTGGGACTAGTGTTGGAATTTTAAATATAACAAATTACTGTGAAAAACTTTTAAAAATAAAATAAAAATAAATTAAATAGACCTGCAGACCAATGGAATACAACTGAATATTCTGACACACACCTTCAAATATATGATCACTTAATTTTTGATAAGGGAGCAAGAAATATGAAATGGAAGAATGAAAGTCTCTTTATCAAGTGGTGCTATTAAAACTGGACAGCTCCATGCAAAAAAATAGGCTCAGACCTCTATCTAACATCATGCACAGAAGTCAGATCAAAATGGATTAAATAACTCAACATCATACCAGACTCCATAAGGTACATAGAAGAAAAAAAATTCTCCATGATATTGAAGCTAAAGGTATCTTCAAAGATAAAAGGCCACTGACCAAGTAAGTATACAAGGCAGTGGTTGAATTCTACAAGAAGAAAACATCCAACCCCATCAGAAAATGGGGAAATAATATGAACAGAAACTTTCTTCAAGAAGAAATTACAATGACCAAAAGGCACATGAAAAAATGTTCTTCATCACTAATCATCAGGGAGATGCGGATCAAAACAACAATGAGATATCATCTCACATCACAGAGATTAGCACACATCCAAAACAAAAGCAACTGGTATTGGCATGGATGTGGGGAGAAAAGGACTCTCCTTCATGCTGGTGGGAATGCCGACTGGTCCAGACATTTTGGAAAACAATATGAACGTTTCTAAAGAAACTAGAAATTGAGCTCTCATTTGACCCAGTAAGGCCACTTCTGGGAGTATATCCCAAGGGTGCAAAAAAGCCAGTAGAAATGACATCTGCACCTGTATGTTCATTGCAGCACTGTTCACAATAGCCAGAACCTGGAAACAACCTGAGTGCCCGAGAACAGACAACTGGTTAAAGAAACTTTGGTACATCTACACAATGGAATACTATGCAGGTGTCAGAAAAAATGAAGTCATGGAATTTTCCTATAAATAAGACATGGAGAGTATCATGCTGAGTGAAGTAAGTCAGAAGGAGGACAGATATAGAATGACTGCATTCACCTGTGGTATATAAATATCTATATATCTACACACATGTATATGTGTGTGTGTGTGTGTGTGTATATGAAGACTAATATCCACAGTGAAAACAGGGGCTAGGAGGACAAGTCAATGACTGGAATCAACCACAAGTCTGTGTGGTAAGATAGAGAAGGGAACAGTATAATAATAATAGCTGGAAACAATCATGTTGGACAAGAACTGAGTGTTAAAATTAGTTAAAGGGATATTCCTGGTAATACAGTTTCTGTATTGCAAACTACAATGCCGAAAAGGAGAGTGAGAGACAAAAGAGCCTGCCATAGGCAGGCTGGGAGGTGGGGGTGAAGGGAGGGAAACTGGGGATACTGGTGCTGGTGCTGGGACATATATACTGGTGGAGGGATGGGTGTTGGAACACTGTATGACTGAAACCTAATCACGAACAGCTTTGTAAGGGTCGATCTCACAGTCACTGTTCTCCCGTTGTTCATTGATTTGTTCGAGAGGGTCCACTAACATTGTGAGACTTGTTACTATGTTTGGCATATCTAATATGTCATGGGTAGCTTGTCAGGATTTGTTGTGCGGGCAAGATACTCTCGGTAGCTTGCCAGGCTCTCCAAGAGGGGCGGAGGGTCAGCCGGGACAGCTGCATGCAAGGCAAACGACCTACCCACTGTGCTATCACTCCAGCCCCTATCTCAGAGTAATTCAATTGAAAAAAAATTTAAAAGCAATGCATAACCCACAAAACAAAGAAACAAACAAACCTTTTTCAAAAATTCTAGTTCCTTTACTTCTAAGAAAGGGTAAATCTTCGTTTTAGTCTTAAATGACTAAAAATAAAGCAAAGGAAAGTTTCAGGCACGTTTTCCAGGTAAATGTTGAGCATGTGTGAGATGGAATTCCAACCCCAGCACTGTGCGGTTCTTGCCTATGTCCACCCTGCAACACTGCGAATACCCCTGATCTCCCACAGTATCACATATAATCCCAATTTAAAAAATTATTTTTCGGGGTGGGTACTCGATCATTGTTATGACTAAAAAGTAAGCACGAAAGTTTGTAAGTCTGTAACTGTACCTCACGGTGATTCACTAAAAACATTTTTAAAAATAAAATTTTTAAAAAATTATTTTTCACCTTGCATATCATGCAAGTGACTTTGCATTAGGCCACCAAATATAAGGTTAGTTATATTTTAATCACAAAAATATCCATAAAAATTAACATGTCTCTTCAACTATTTAGTAGGCTCTAACTACTTGCTTTCCTCTGAGAAAAAGCAAACACATAACAACCTTTACCCTCTTGTTTTTTTAAGATACTAGAGGAAGAGGAACAGGTATTTTACCTATTTATATTTAAGTGCTTGAATGAACCTGTAAGAGGTGTCCTACAATACTTGTTTTCATCAGAATAACATCGTGATGCTGAACAAACTTTATCTCCAGAAGAATAGGTATCAAAATCATCTGTTAACAAAAAAAGAAAAGAAAGTAACAGATTTCTTACTGATACCAGATACTAAGGATCTAACAGATTCTTAAAAGACAGCAAAACTCCTTCATGACTTATCTATGCATCGACCTACATCCAGATAACAGGTCTACTAAATCTTGTATTTACAGAGTACTTCAGTGAATATAAAATGCTCTTTTCATCATTTGATCCTATGAACAGACAGGATAAAGCAAAATTGGTTTGTTTATTCCTTTTCTAATTATTAGTAATCTAAGAAACAAGATGTATTGTGAAATCTTCCAAATAACACAACCAGTAAGTGAAAAGACTAAATTTTAAAACCTAGCTTCTTTCTACCCAGTCAAGGTATTACCTTTCAGTCATTTTAGACAAGAATGGAGTATCCGAAACAGTGCTCTGGAGATAGTGATGTTAGGAACTGAAACCAGGGCCTCTCAGGCACAAGTTTTATCTCCTTGTCAGTCTTCACACATTTAACATTTAATTTTTAAGTTTCCTAGATCTTAAAACATTGTTTGATAAAGTAGTAGCCTATAATTAGTAGTCAAAGTAAATGGCTAACTTCTCTGACCAGAAATTTAGAAATGGCTAAGGAAGCTCTTCAAGGAGTCAGTTCAGGAGTACTACAAAGTGTGGGAGGGAAAGAAAGAAAAAAAAGAATAGGGAGGGAGGGAGGGAAGGAGGGAGGGAGGGAGGGAGGGAAGGAAGGAAGGAAGGAAGAAGAGGGAGGGAGAAAAAGAGAAAGATTAGTATATTTTACTTGTTTACATTTTAGCATATTAAAAGGCAGAAATACTGTAACAGAAACACCAAAAAAGAAATTTCCATTTAATTTGACCTATCCACATAACTGAAAAGGCTTGAGCACGTGACGGTTCTGAGGTTCTGAGCTGGATCTGAAGAAGCCCCCCGCCCCGCAACATCTTGGGTCCTCAGGGCAGGAGCTGGGGAGAGCATCCCCAGGAGTTTTTCCTAGCCCCCAGAGCACTACTTTGGTGCCAGAAAAAATAAAATTCCTTCAGGAATAAAAAGACTTTGTAAGACGATACCTTGCACCATTCATAATCCGAAACAAAAATAGACTTTTTTTTAAAAAAACTCACTTTTCTCTCAAATTTGTTAAAACTGTCATAGTAGTTTACCCGCTTACCTGGGGAGGCTAGATATCTTCTCTTACATTTAGCCTGACTAACATTCGAAAAGTCAAACTAAAAGAAAAGAAAAAGAATCTGGGTAATATATTTGCCATGTATTAAAATAACGAACCCCCCACCCGTCGTACTCATTAAAGGCTGAGCGACCCCGCGGCCCGCACCTAGGGCAGAAGGCGACTCCTGTCCCTGAGGCGCGGCAGCCCGTGCCGCAGCCAGCGCCGCGCGCCTCTCCCCTGCGCGGGCCTGCCCCCGGCCCGTCTCCTCCCCGGGAAGAGGCTCCAAGGGGCGTCGCTGACACCACGCCGCAGCGTCTCAGGGTGGCGGGGCCCCTGGCGCTGAGCCAGCCTGAGGCGGTGCCAGCGGGAGGCGAGGCGTTAGACGTGGCGGAACGCGGGGGACCGCAGACCTGGGGAAGGGGCAGCGGTCACCTCTGGGACCCCGTGGAGGCAGGCTCGCTAAGGAGTCACTGTTTGGAGGCACTGGCCACTCCGTCAGGGCGCCGAGCCCCTCAGCGAGCCACCTCGCGCCCTACGCACCCCGGGCCACGCCTGCTCCTCCCGCGCGTCCCCGGCCCGGCGCCGAGACCGGCCCTCAGCGACGGCGCTGCCCGCCAGCCCGTAGCGGCTCTTGAGACGCTCCACAGCAGGGTCTTGCCCCGGCGGCTTGACGAGCCTCGGCTCCATGTCGCAGCCCGGCCACCGTTGTTGCCCGGGAACCGCGTTCGAAGCGCGGCGGGAAGAGCCGGGCCGGCGCGGGGCACGTCACGCCACGGCTCACTTCCGCCCGCCGGCCCCACTCCGCCGCCCGCCGCCCAGGTCCCGCGCGCGCAAGCTCCGCCCCGCCGGCCGCTGGCCGGGACCCGCGCGCAGGCCCCGCCCCGCTCCTCCCCGCCCCGCCCGCCGCGACTGGTGCGCGCAGGCCCCGCCCCCTTCGACAAAATCCGCTGCCCCAGACCCGCAAGTCTGGGGGGACTCGTTCATGCGTGTTCTGGGGCTGCTCCTGTCTGAGCTCAGAGCCCCAGGTAGGGTCGGTGATAGAGCCCAGGTCCTGCAAGGCAGTTGTGTGCACAGCCAAGAGCTCTCTCCTGCCCCTCCCCCGCCCCCTCTCTAGACTCTGTATTTGCAAGTAAGACCCTAAACGTCTCCAGCTGTGACCCAAAATCAAAAACCAGAAAAAAAAAAGTGATCTTTTCTGTTTTACTTGCAAAATTATTTGATGCCTAAGGCCTTTTACTGCGATGTTGACTATGAGTGGTCTTCTCTTGCTGACATGAAAAGCATGACTTTCCTAAGTCATGCCCGTGGGTGAGGATAAGCAGATGGGCTGCTTGCACCACAGCCGTGCTCCCATTGCCAGCAGGGCATCAGCAGCTCCTTCCAGGGTTAAGAATGTCCATAAGGAGTGAACAGGGGTGGGCCAAGATTTACTTGGTTGACGTCACACACACACACCCTTCCCGTGGAACCGATGAAGTATGCATGTATGTATGTATGTATGTATGTATGTATTTATGCAGTGTGATTTGGATCAATATACACCTGAAGTCAAGGCCGGCGTGATATTCAAGTAGGTATGGGGAAAATTAGGAGTGTTTTCTTCCTGCAGAGCCTAAATTTTTCAGAACGGTGTGCCTCTCTTTCCCTGTGATTGGCGTATGTTCCATGTGGCAAGTCTCAAGAGAATTACACTGTAAAACAAGTATTAGAATATAAACTTTCTAAAATCGTACTTTATAAACAAGTTTTCCCCAATGTTTATAGTCACCTTATTTTCAAAGTCACTTTATTTTCAGTCACACCTAAATCCTGTGTTAGTTAACTAATTTCTCTCATACATTTATACTAGTGTTAATTCCTTACCTCTTGAAATTGTTCAACAAGATGTGTGAACTCAGGTTTGCTGGATTCTATGTTCCTCAAAAAATACAGAAAAGAGGGGAAAAAAAATTTCTGAAATGCCAAATTTTAGGTCAATGTTTTAATGGTTATCTAAGTATTACTAAAGCCAAAACCTTTTTGAAATACAGTATTAAAGTGTACAAATAATTTCTTCATATTTAATCTTTAAGCAGTTGACTTAAAAAGCCCATTTCTTAAAAATACACATCATTTTGACCATAAAATTACAATAACAAGAAAAAAATCATGTAGCCAGAGTGCTAGTACAGCTAATAAAACTCTTTCTTGCCTTCCATGCAGCTGACTCAGGATAGATTCCCTTTATCTCATATGGCCCACCATGCCATGCCAGGAGCAAACCAGGAGCACGGCCTAGTGTGCCACTTTCCAAAAATCATCAAGTCCTCTACCACATCAAGAGTACTGAAAATGCTGATTTGCATACCATTTAATCAAAATTTTTCGAAGTATGGTCTTTAGAGCTAACTCTGAATTTTCTGCTTGAAGAGGAACTGGTATTATACTGAATTCTCCAAAAATTCTAAATTGCTCTTGCATTTTAATTTTATTCTGAAATCTTGACAAAGGGATCAAGCTAAAAAATACAAGACTTTCACATCAACTTACATTTACATAGGTTTCCACAGAAACTGATTTTTTTTCTTTTTGAGACACTTTCAGCAATGCTTGTGGTTCATTGCCAGCAAGTGCACCTGCCACCTATCATATGCAAAGCATGTGCCTTAGCCCTTTATTCCTCAGGCCTCCAAAAGATATTAATTATACATATATTTTAAATCCTTGGTTCTCCTTAAGGTTCCAATAATTCAGCTCTTATACTAGAGTACTTTATTTCAAGTATCTTGTTTGCCTCTGACCAACTAGATTTGTGATATTTAATCATTCATTCATTGTTCAGAAAAACCACATCTGACTTCCCTCCGATAGAACTGGTCAACAGAATAAATCTCACTGCCTTTAACTAGGGCTGGAGTGATAGCACAGCGGTAGGGCATTCGCCTTACAAGCGGCCAACATGGCTGACCCGAGTTCGATTCCTCCGCCCCTCTCGGAGAGCCAGGCAAGCTACCAAGAGTATTCGATATGCCAAACACAGTAACAACAAAGTCTCCAATGGAGACGTTACTGGGCCCGCTCGAGCCTTTAACTAAATAAGATGAGGCAGTTTCACTGGGAAGAGCATAGAAAGAAGGCCAATCTTAATTAGAATATACCAAATTTTGTACTCTGACTACAGTCTTTGTGGCACTATTATCGAGTGGGATCACCTTTATACTTTGTCTAACCTTTCTAACATTAGCTATTTCTAAATAAATGTTCAGTGTTACTTAAAAATCTGAAATACTTCCTTAGGAGTTCTGAAAATTATGTGACATTCTGAGTTTACAGAACTTTAACTGTCCTTATTTTTATGTCCGAATATAGAATGAACAAAAAATTAGATGCACAAGTAATAAATGGTTTAAAATGTCATGGCTATTTAACAATCATCACTTTATTTTTTGCTACAAAATTCACCAGAAAAAAAGGTACTGCAACAATCTAGTATAAAGCAAATCTTTAACCAAAGAACATGGGTATAGATCTTAAAATATTCATACTTTATCACAATCACTGCAAGGGAAATTTCAAGTTCTATCAGAACCACGCTGCAGTTTGAGGTAGTAGAAACATGACAGAGAAATTTAAAAAAAAATCTAATCCTCAACTTGTCTAAAATGTAAAAATTTAATACCTTTGAAAGGGCGCAGGAAGCTACATATTTTAAGAATAGAAGATACTCTGCTTAAAAGTTAATTTACTATACAGGAGGTGCAAGGATTATAGAAGAGCACTTTGGTTAAGTCTCTATCCTCTGTGACTTATTCATTCATAATGAGAATTCATAAATAAGCACATTATTAGTTAAAATTACCAAATATATTTCAAATTTAAAATTATAATTATCCAAATTGTGGTCCCTTTTTCAAAACACTAAGCATGTCCATGCAGAAAGTTCAGTATGCTAAGTTAAAAGCAAATTGCATATATCATATTCCTTCAATAGTTTAAGACTATTGCTTTTAACAAGACTAGTATTATTTCAATACAGATATGTCAGGAGTACACAAACACAAGTACACCTGAAATACACCAGTGTTTAAACTTTTATTTCACACCATGCAAGGTCAAATATAACACATTAAAAAGTGACAACAGCTATAAGCTGCAATTTAACATTTATACACTGGAAACGTCCATTTTCATAAGCTGAACATAATTACCATACTGTCTTAACAGCTAAGCATCAACTGCTCATGAAAGGTAAAATTTACTATAAAAAGCAATGATTTTTATATTTGTCCACATTCTGTGATAATAATTCGTCGACTAACAGATCCTTCAGGAGAACCAAATGATTCTATTTTTCTCACAGTATCCATGCCATCCTTAACAAACCCAAACACTACATGCTTAAAGTCCAAATGTTCTGTTTTTTTCAGTGTTATAAAAAATTGAGAATTATTTGTATCCCGGCCTTTATTAGCCATTGATAGTAATCCAGGACCAGTATGCTTCACAATAAAATTTTCATCTTCAAATTTTTCTCCATAAATGGACCGTCCTCCTGTTCCATTATGCTTGGTGATATCTCCCCCCTGGGAAATTTTAGAAAAATAAAAGTTTAATGGGAACCATGGAAAAAAATGTTGTAGTATACACATTAATCACTACAAAGTCAATCTGGTAGACACAGCTTCCTGGAAAACCCAGCTTGGGAAGAAAAATATTTAATTAAAAAAATGGTATTTACAATGTCATTAACAGTTGATTTTTAGACATAGCACCAATCCATCCACCCCCACTGTCAAACTTCTTCCACCAGTGTTCCCCCCAAGTCTCTCCCACGACACCTCACAGCCTACCACCTTTAGAAGCATATTTTAAAGTTTGGTGGTTGTTTAATCGGATTGTCTATGATTTGGATATTTATAAGTATAGTTACACCACTCCCCCACATTACTAATATATCCTGACTCATGATCTCCCATTAATTTTCTTTCTCATATTCTTCCATTCCTCCTGAATTTCTTTCCCTCTCTGTCTTCTCCTCCTTATAATCTGAATTCAAAGGTATTCTAGGAATCCCCCTTAACTACAGTACATTCGTTCTTCCAATTATGCCACATGAAGTAAGCCAAAAGGACAAACTACAGGATGACCTCACCTATCTGTGAGATATATATGTATTACACACACACACACACACACACACACACACACACACACACACACACACACACACACCCCTCTTAAAGAAGAAAATTCTTAGTCAGAATAATGATAATACAGTGAGTAGCACCTGGCCAACCCTGGTTTGGTCCCAGGCACCCTGTATAGTCCCCCCAAACATCACCAGGAGCAATTCCTGAATGTAGAGCCAGAAGTAACTCCTGAGCATCACCAAAAAGTTAAATTAAATTTGATTTTAAAAATGAAGATTTTTGTTTCTTTGGCTTTTTGGGTCACACCCGGCCATGCACTCAAGAACTACTCCTGGTGCTCAGGGGATTATATGGGTTGCCAAGGATCAAAATTAGGTCAGCCGCATGCAAGGCAAACACCCTACCCACTCTACTATCATTCCAGCCCCCAAAATGAAGAAAAAAAATTTTTAATTAATTTATTATTTTTTTAATAGTGAGACATCATGAGGTACAGTTGCAGACTTACCTATTTTTGTGCTTGGGTTTCAACTGAAGAAAATTTTTAAAGAATAAAATCTTTTCCCCACTCTTTCTACAAGTTTCAGAGACAGAAAAATCACATCCCAACCACTCTAGTTCAAATCCCTGATGCTCCTTGGGGTCACTACTGAGCACAAAGCCCCTGAGTACCTCTGGATGTGGCCAACATCCCCACCACAACCACAGGGGGGAAAAAAAAGAAAGGAAAAAATTCTAGTAAGTTTCAAGCTATTCTTAAAACTCTGAACCATTTTGTGGAAAGTTATTGTGGGAGTAAAAAGCTGAGGTGGCAACACCAACTATACAGAAGAGCTAAAAAAAAAAAAAAAATTTTAAGAAAATGCATACAAAACACAGCATTCAAATTTTTTTCGAGTTCTTGTGACACACATTTCTACACTTACCTGGCAAACAAAATCTGGCACTACTCTGTGAAAAATGGAGTTCTTGAAACCAAAACCCTTCTCTCCAGTGCAAAGTGCTCGGAAGTTCTCAGCAGTTTGAGGAACAATGTTTGAAAATAATTCCATGGTTATGCGTCCTAAAGGTTCGTCATCTGCACAAACATCAAAAAACACCACAGGATTTGTCTCCTTTGATAACTCTGCTGTCAGAGATACCTGCCCTTGGTTCAATAAATTCTGTTGGCATTCTTCAATTTTTTTCTTAAAACAATCTGCCATTTCTTTTGTTTTAAATCTCACTGCAAGCTGTTCCACCTTTGCTTCTCCATCTATTAAACAACACACACAAAAAAAGTTATTACAAATTCTTTAAATATTTATATTATATTTTAAAGAGCTTCAAAAAATGAAAAGCAGCATCTAAATATGAAACTCACCAGCATAATCTGAAGCAGTCCAAACTAAAGCATTATTCGAAACATTTAAGGGTTTTAATTCCATTGTTTTGGTAATAACATGGTTTGCACAAACTTTAAAAACCTGATCTCTTCTCATTAGGATCCGGTAATAATTCTTCATCATATGCCAAAGAATCTTTATATCTCCAACACCACGTTCTTTCCACTGACTGACATCTCGATCCCATCTATAGAGTTTGGCTCGTTCTTTAAATAAAATTTCTTCGTCTTCTTCTCCAGATTTTACTTCTACCTATAACAGAATATGAAATTATTAACTATGCTTAAAACGTCTTTCAGACAAATTTCAAATGTCCAAAGTCTTAAAGATCTACCTTTTTTGAAATGACATTAACATATACCAACAGTGTCCTTAGAAATCCACAATTTATGTGCTCTAAATTTGTTAGAGCACATAACAAATTTAACTTGAAGGAGACAATAACAAATTTGTCATTAAACATTTTTTCTTAGTAAATGCCTCTTCTGCCTCCAGAAATTATTAAATATTCTTTTTTCTTTTGATTTTTGGCCCACACATGGAAGTCCTCAGGAGTTACTCCTGGCTTGGCGCTCAGTAATCACTCCTGGCAATGTTCCGGGTCCCATATGGGCTGTCAGGGATCAAACCTGAGTTAGTCGCTTGCAAGGTAAGCTATTTCTCCAGCCCCCTAACTATACTTTTTTTCATAGAACGAAAGAAGTTTCAAAAAGTGTAGTGTTTGGTTTTTTTGTTTTCTTTCTGGGTCACACCCGGCGATACTCAGGGATTACTCCCGGGTTCGCAAATCAGGAATTACTCCTGGCAGTGCTCAAAAATCAGGAATTTGCGAGCGATGCTCGAGGAACCATATGAGATGCTGGGAATCGAACCCAGGTGGGTCGAGTGCAAGGCAAACGCCCTACCCACTGTGTTATCACTCCAGCCCCAAAGTGTATATTTTGACAAGAGAACTATATTTTGAGTTCGAAACTTAACCAAATTAGAACTGCAAGACCCAGCAAAAACCAGAATTAAAAAAATTAAATGCGCAAGGACTGCAACCAGATAAATGCACAATCCCTTAGTCATCACAGCAACATCTACAATGAACAGGAAGTGCAGTAACTTTTTTTAAAAAGCCTGACAAAATAATTTTCTTAAAGCTATATATACATATACATACACATATTTATAAACACATATACACTGTATGTTTATACATGGGCTGGAGCGATAGCACAGCAGGTAGGGCGTTTGCCTCGCACGCGGTCAACTCTGGCTGACCAGAGTTCTATTCCTCCGCCCATCTTGGAGAGCCCGGCAAGCTACCGAGAGTATCTCACCTTCACGGCAAAGCCTGGCAAGCTACCTGATGTATTCGTGATGTATTCGATATGCCAAACACAGTAACAACAAGTCTCATGATGGAGACGTTACTGGGCCCGCTGGAGCAAACTGATGAACAACGGGAGGACAGTGCTACAGTGCATGTTTATATATATGTATTTTTTAGGCTTTTAGGCTACACCCAACAATGCTCAGGCGGTATTGCTGGATGTGCTTGGGGGACCATATGGGACACCAGGGATCGAACCAGGGTCAGCCACGTGCAAGGCAACCGCTCTACCAACTCCAACCCCTAAAACAATATTCTCATCCAGAAAACTAAATGCAGTTTGTTTTCAGAGACTTTCAGTCTTTCACAAGAATAAGATTCATATTTTGCCTTCAAAATTATGCTATAGAAGATTCTATAAACCTATAAAACTATTAGTTTTTAGAACCTATAAAAACCATTCATTCTTGGGGCTGGAGAGATAGCACAGTGGGTAGGGTATTTGCCTTGCACGCGGCCGACCCAGGTCCAATCCCCAGCATCCCATATGGTTCCCTGAGCACAGCCAGGGGTAATTCCTGAGTACAAGGCCAGAAGTAACCCCTGTGCATCGCCGGGTGTTACCCAAGAAGAAGAAAAAGAAACTATTCGTTCTCAACAATTTCATACAGAGCATAAGTTCACATAACAGAAAAGGATCATGCAGGAACAGCACAGGGCTCGAGAGCTAGAACCCCCAGTGTCCCACGTGTGTCAGGTAGACCCTGGCAGCCATGCTGCGTCCCCAACACCATACGTCATTTCCAGCAGTACCACTCTCGGCATAAAAAGGGGCATCATGTCCAATAACCACAGGCACAAAGGAGTGTCAGGACATCAGAGGTCCAGGACAGGTAACCTGAGATTAGTATCCCAGCAGCCACTGCTGGCAAGATCCTAACTTGTGTGCCAACTAAAAAAGTTCATCCTGAAGAAAACATGCAAGCAGCACAACTAAAGCAGTGCAAACCTTGGCTAGCACTGTAACCAAGTGTGCCAAGCACCAAAATCAGTTGAGGAATACCACCAGACATTATGTGCAACCCTGGTCATAAATAACAACAAAGAGGGATAAAGATAGGGAGAAAAGAAATTTAGCAACCAAAAACTCAATATAGAAAATCTATAAACATTACACTAATAAAAAGCTTTCATTAAAAAAAAAAATCAACGTACTGTGAAAGAAATATAAACAAAACTAGCTGTAAAAATCATCTAAGCTAAATTTTAACCACAGACTATGAAGTAAATTCGTAGCAAGATTTTCATTCTAAAATATTTACCTCTGGTAATGATACTATTGGTTCAAAATGGATATCTTCATTATGAACTACTTCTTCATCACTACCATCTTCATTTTCACCAACTGTACTGGTTGCCTGTATTCCAAATACAGTTGCTCCAGTATTGGCCCACTGGAAATTTTTATCTGATGGATAAATCAGAGTACTTTAAAAGTGGCATCAATATGTTTATGAGCATATTATCCCCCTCTTAGGTTAATTCATCAATGCATCTAGTAAAATACCTAACATACATTATCATGGCTAGCCGAAATAAAGTAGGGAGCACACTATACATTTAGGACTATTTATGCTTAATATCTAAAAATAAAAATGGTTCGGTCTTAGATAACCTTTATAATACTAAACCACAATATCTATCTAGAACTCTAAAGAACTAAGAACTCAGCTCTCAAAAGTATCTTATTTCATAAAACTAAAAATGTCAAATTAGCCAATCAATCCCACAAAGAATATAAGCAAAGCACACCCCTGCTTAACTCATCCATGGTGAGTTTCTCAAACAAAAGTTGGCCCCCGGCACCACCAGGGGCAGACTCAAGTACCACCAGGTGTCACCCAAAAATAAAATTACAAATATGGTGCCAGAATGATAATACAGGGGTTTATGAACTTGCCTTGCATCCTTAAGCCTCGAGTGATTCCTGAGCAGAGAGCCAGGAACAAGCCCTAAACACTGCCAGGCATGGCCAAACACACTCACCCCTCAATATGACTCTGAGACACCCCCAACCCAGCAGAGAAATATTTTTAATTGCCAACAAAAATATCTGAAGGAAAGGACTTTATGGGGGAAAAAAAAATCTTCTGACAAGGGGCTGAAAAAATAGTACAGTGCTTGCCTTGCATATAGCCAACCAAGACTCAATCCCTCAACACTGCATACAGCCACTTGAGCCCTGCCAAGAGTGATTCCTAACTGCAGAAGTACAGAGCCAGAAATAATCCCTGAGCATTGCTAGGTGTGGCCCCAAAACAAAAACAAACAAAAATTTGACCAAAAATACAGACAATTTAAAAAAAAAATCACATCTGGCAGTACTCATGAGTAATTCCTGGCTATGCACACTGGAATTACACATAGCGGTGCACAGGTGGACCATATGAGATGCCAGGGATCGAACCCAGGTTGGCCACATGCAAGGAAAATCCACTATGCTATCACTTTGGCCCCTTGACAAAAAAAATTTTGTCAAAAAATTTCAAAGTAAGAGTTTTTTTTATAAATTCCCAATAGGATGTTGGAGAGCCTAATATGATTAGCCTACCATTTTTTTTTCTTTCTTAATCTCCCAAATAGTTTTATTATTTATTAAGCCTTTTAATAAGTTTTATTATTTTTTAAGCTTTTTGAAAATCAAAGTTTTAAAAACATAGCCCCAGGGACCAGAGAGATAGCTCAGGTGTCAGGTTGTCTGTGTGTGTGCAAAAGCAGAGTTCAGTCCTGCCCATTTCTACTAGGTATAGTAATGGAAGCCCCAAGCATCTGCAGGTGTGCCTAGGAGCTCTCAGCACCTGCTGTCCAACCCAGTATCATCAAAAGTGGCCTCCAAGTACTGCTTGGGAATCCTTCCTGGTTCCAGTCCAACCCCTTAAAACATTAACCACTGTAAGGTAACCAGGAAATATGGCAGAGAACAAGTCTTCCATGTGAGAAGCCGTGCATGGATTTGATCCCCAGCAGTATACCCCTCACAAAATTATTGCTATAAAAAGACCCAGAAATTTTTAAGCAGTGAAAGCCTAAGAATATGCAAATGGTGTCACGGTAACTGTTTGAGTACACTGGCCCCCAGTAACTACAGGAGTGATCTCTGCTACAAAGCAGAATATGTCCTGAATACTGTTGGGTATGGCCCTCCCCCAACCAATTTTTTTTTGTTGTTGTTTAAAAACAAAAAAAGAAAGGAAAAGCAATCACCATACTATATAAAAGAGAAGGGAAGGGACAAGAGAGATAGTACAGAAGCTAAGTCGCTTGCACATGGCTAACCCAGGTTCCAGCCCTGATGCTTCATAGGACCCCTGAGCCTGCCAGGAGTGCATGAACACCATCCACGCCCTTACTGCCACCCAGAAGACCATGGACAGCCTCTCTGAGAAACTGGCAGGACAGCATGAGGCAACCCAGAAAATCATCCCAGCTGCCACCAGCGCCACCAAGGGCTAGGGAAAGGTCTTCCCTGAGCAGGTAGAGAAGCTGACTCGCCTTGCCTTCCATGTCCCACCCACTACATATCTGTCATGGTTCTGACCTGCTGCCTGGAAAAAACTGCCAAATACAGTGACATCAAAAAGTGGGGAAACAGACCTCGCAGGAGCCCCCTCCAGGGATCCTGGACTACACCAAGGGCTACGCTGTCTCCTGCGATATAAATAGTGACACCCACTTCTCCCCCTTCCATGCTGGGGTTGGCACTGACCGTAACAACCATTTCATCAAGCTCATCTCCTGGTACTACAGAGTTTAGCTACAGCAACAGGGTGGTGGACCTTTTGGTCCATCAGGAAAGCTCACCAAGCATAATAGCATAGTAGTAGCATAATACTTATTAAAACTCTAACAAGGTCACTACAGAAAAAAAAGCTATAAAATCCCCTTTTAAAAAAATCTTAAAATTTTGGAATATTTGCAAATCATTCTAAAAGTATAATTAAAGGAGCAATGTACCAAAAAACAAGGTTAATTAAAAGCTGAAAAGATTGGGGCTGGAAAGCACAGCGGGTTGGGCGTTTGCCTTGCACACGGCCGGCCCGGGTTTGATTTCCAGCATCCCATACGATCCCGTGAGCACCCCTGAGTAATTCCTGAGTGCAGAGCCAGGAGTAACCCCTACGCATCGCCAGGTGTGACCCAAAAAGGGAAAAAAAATTTAAAAAACCTGAAAAGATTTTTGTATTCTATATTTCAGGATGGGCTGGAGCGATAGCACACTGGGTAGGGCGTTTGCCTTGCACGCAGCCAACGTGGCCGACCCGAGTTCGATTCCTCCGCCCCTCTCGGAGAGCCCAGCAAGCTACCGAGAGTATCTCGCCCGCACGGCAGAACCTGGCAAGCTACCCATGATGTATTCGATATGCCAAACACAGTAACAACAAAGTCTCCAATGGAGACGTTACTGGGCCCGCTCGAGCAAATCGATGAACAACGGGAGGACAGTGAGAGTGACAGTATTTCAGGAAGGAGACTATCAGCACAACACACTAACTTCAGAGAATGCCAATAATAGTAAATATTTCTTATCAAAACACTAAAAACTGACAGTAATGGAAGAAATTTTCAATTTAAGATTAACAATTTGGCATAAATCTTTCAGTTGAACTTGATTCCATAACATGATCATAAAAATTATCTTGATTTTACCTTTAGAACCAAAAGCAAAATCCCCAGAATTACTGGAAGCCAGGTCTGCAAATGACAGCCCTGTGCTACTTCCAAATCCAAATGAAACTGCTTTGTTTTCCCCTGGAAAAAGAAAATTAGCAATTGAATACTTCATTTAATATATAATGAACATTAAAGAACATTGACCATTAATAGATACTGAATCCCGGATCCAGAGAGAACAGAGGTAGTAGAACCATCTATACTAGTGAGGGTAGGAACAGGTAGTAAAGCAATTATCTTTTATCATTTTCTGAGTAAGTTACAAAATACATCAAATTCTGAGCTTCTTCAGAATCAAGAACAAACCAAGAAGGCACTTAGAAAATATATATAGATATATACTATGTATATGTAAATTTATTTTCTACTTTGCAATCTCCTATAACCTGAAACATTCAGTCCAAGGCACAAATTCAGGAAAAAACATCTGCATAAAGATTTCTGTGTTCTCTATTATATAAGCTCAAAAACCAACAGGTCTTTTCTTAATTCTACCAATGTATATGTAGCTGCTTGATCTCTTGGAAATCCTGTATTTTCCTCATTTAAAACAAATGAGGTTTTAAGTATAATGTTTCTTCTCTTCTAGCATAAGAAGATTATGAAGTGCTAAAATGCAAATTATCCACATTTACTTCTGAAACAGGTAATATATAAATGTACACAATATAAAACAATTCAACAGAAAGAAAATTCCCCCTCCTAAGATAGGCTAAAATAAAGGAACAAGGGGAAGAGCATATCAAATATTAACTATTAACACCAAGAAAGTGTATGTGTGTCCATCACCCCATGCCCCCATCAAGGTCAGTGATGGTAAAACAGGCAAGCTGCTTGCCTTTCACGGAGCTGACCTAGGTCTAATCCTACGCATCATATAAGGTCCCCCAAGGACTGCCAGTAGTGATCCCTGAGCACAGAGTCACGAGTAAGTCCTAAGCACCACGAAGTGTGATCCAAAAAAAAAAGTTTATCCCTTACAAACTATTCTCATTAATTCACAAGTAGAGTTAGATGGTCTAATAAGTATTTTTATTATCTTTGCTTGCAAGGCAGTATGATTTTATTACAAGTACCTTACTCCCCTTTATGTAACTTTTAAAAAAAAATCTTTTCTTTCTGGTTTTTGTTCCACACCTAGCAATTTTCAGAGCTTATTCTCGTTCTATAATCTGGTACCACTATTGGTGGTATACAAGGGGTCTTTATAAGGGCTGGGGAATGGCCCAAAGCAGGGTCAACCATATATAAAGCAAGTGAACTAATTCCTATACTAGTTCCCAGCTGCCTCAAAGTTTATTTTTAGAAAGGGAGGATAGGAGGGACTAGTATAGTTTTAAAAACTTTGTTACTACTATAATCTACATTCTATATAAACATGATGGTGCATGTTTTCTGAAACATGCCTAAGGTTTGCAAACATATCAGATTTTACCTTGGCTTGTAGAATCTGTATCATTTTCCTTTCTAGTAGACAAATCTACAGGTTTGTCTACAGTTCCAGAAGAAATAAGAGATGAGCTGATAGGATCGGTAGTTAAACCAGGTTCTTCAGATTTACATAAAACTGGTACAGCCATTTTAGTTTCACCAGTGAGCACATTGTCAACCAAGCTAGTTTTTTCGTCATTCTGGGACTTCTGCAAGAAGGAAGTAACAGTACCATTAACCACATCCACAATACCATTAAACAAAGATTGACAAACTCTACCTCCTCTATAGAAAAAAAATGCTGAGTACATGCTATTCCAAACAAAACTAAATTATGCACACTTCACCATTTTCTCCCATCCCACACTCCATCCTTTCTTACCTAAAACCTAAACAACTGAACTTAAAACTGTAAGACACCTCTAAAATGATGATAAAAAAGAAGAATCTGAAGACTTGGGCCTAGAAGAGTAACTCAGGGATTTAGAAAACTTGCAAGGCATATGTATGGAATTCAATCTTTTGCTCTGGATTACAGAAATGAGAATGCCAAGAAAGGAGAGGGGGAGGGAGAAGAGGATAAAAGCACTGGATCAAGGGTCTTGGGATATTTAAGTGGTACAGAAATGTGCAAATACACAAAAACATTCAAATTGTAGTAAGAAATTTCTGTGTGTGTTTGTGTGTTTGTGTGTTTGTGTGTGAGAGAGAGAAAGAAAAAGAGAGAGAGAAGATACTTTTTATTGAAACTTAGGAAGATGTGAGGAGAAAATGAGAAGTTGGTTTTTGACAGACCACAGACTACTCCACAGTGGAAATAAACAAGTAAAGAAACAGACAATTAAGTGAGATATGTGTTCATGAAGAACACAGGCTCGAAGAGCAGGATATAAATAATTTTTAAAGATTAATTTATTGGGACTGGAGCGATAGCACAGCGGGTAGGGCCTTTGCCTTGCACGCGGCCGACCTGGGTTCAATTCCCAGCATCCCATATGGACTCAAGCACTGTCAAGAGTAATTCCTGAGTGAAAATCAGGAATAACCCCTGAGCATTGCCAGGTGTGACCCAAAAAATTTAAAAAATTAATTTATTAAGGAAGTGAGGCAGGCTAAAGGGAGAATCTAGTATCATTGGTCGAAGGAAAGTAACACTGTATTTAAATTTCAAACAGTTGGGTCTGAGCAGTAGTACAGTGAGTAGGGTGTTTGCCCTGCAGGTGGCCAACCTGGGTTTGATCCCCAGCATCCCACATGGTTCTCCAAGCAGCACCACAAGCAATTCCTGAGTGCAGAACCAGGAATAACCCGAGTGTGACCCAAAAACAAACAAAAAAATAAAATCACTGAGTGCTCAAAAGTCTTATTTTAAGTCTTAGAAAATCAGTGTCTAAATTATTTTTTAAAATATTCATAAAAGGACTTTTGTTTATATTGGCATAGTGAAGCCACCAATACAAAAATTTAGATAGGTCTGCCACATACAAATAATTCAGTTACAAATAAAAAAGCAATTGTTTCATTATGCCCACTTGTTGCCAATAACAATGTTTACTTATGAGTAAGTTTATATGTACTGAACAGTTGTCTTATCCTAGGTAGATAGCTAGAAAAAGTATGTCTATTGGACTCTGCTCAAAAAAACACTATGAAAGGTATTATTTTTCTTTCATCAGACCCTGCACCTCACATTTCCTTTATATAAAGGCTAATCCTTTATATAAAGTTATCAGGTTTCAAATACTATTTCCAATCTATTCTGTCAAGCCAAGAGTAAGAAATGTGCATGAAAAAAGGACTTCATTTCCCTGTCTATTGTGATAGATATTATAAGGCTTATACGCATCATCTATAATACTCCTCACTCCCAAAACTTTAATTAGGAATGTGTTTAACTGTTAACCTCTATATAGATAAAACGTTCCCTCCTGCTACAGCTGATTGGTAGAGTTGTAACTACAATCCAATATTATTATTTGGTTAAGATTAATTGACATTTGCGGGTAAGGGGAGCATGAGGAAGAAGGCAGCCCATACCTGACTGTCCTCAAAAATAATCTGTTATTGCATCAATAGACGGCTAGTAAACCAGAATTACAGATATTCTTACTTGAGCTTCTTGAACTTTTTCAAGCTCTGACTGAAAGTCTTCCCCATTTCCATTGTCCTCATCAGTATCACTGCAGACTCCACAAAAAAATGTAGGTGGAAGCTTTAACGTATCTGCTTTTGCCTTCTCTTCAATTGTTGGTTTCTTTTCCCATACAATGACACATTCTTTTTCACTATCTAAAAGACCCAAAACAACACAAACAAAGTGAAGTTTAAAGTAGGAGAGGTCCTATCAGTTTCATATAACATCTTCAATGTAATCTACAGATTATAGACCCAAGTACCAAGTTTATGAATGCTACAAGAAATAAAGACAAGTAGAAGAACAGTATTTTTCACCTTGTATTTTTCAATCGGCCATGTTGGCCGCGTGTAAGGCGAACGCCCTACCCGCTGTGCTATCGCTCCAGCCTAGGATGAGATGACTTCGTCTGCACTCAGGAATCACTCCTGGTTTAGTAAGGGGGGGGGGGGGGGGGGTTCAACACAACACACAGACCACATGGGGTGTCAGGAGTCAAACCTAGGCCTGCCACATGCAAAGCAAACACCCTCTGTACTATCTATACATATTTTATATTTTGAATCATCCAGACATACCATGTAAATAAAAGTGGTTAGAGAAATTATTAGACCAGAAGACATATATAAAAAATGCTTAAATTTTTTTTTAAATAAAAAAATTTTTAATACTGAGACATCATGAGGTACAGTTGCAGACTTACACATTTTTGTGCTTGGGTTTCAATTATACAATGATCAAATACCCATCCCTCCACCAGTGCCCATTTCCCACCACCACGGATCCCAGTAAAAAATGTTTAAATTTTAAACATTAAATTCAGGATTAAATTTAACATACCTGCAAGATTTTCTTCTAAGGGTCTATTTTTTTCTGAGTCATCTAGATATAATTTTCCATTGAGTTTCTTGACAGCTGTTTCAAAATCTTCATCTTGAAAGTATAATTGATCACATTAAATAAAGGCATTTCTAGTTAAGTTTTAGTTTCCCCAGTCACAAATCCAGGTCTTAACTCATTCCTCAAATCCCCATGCAAATCAAGTGCCCTAACATACCCACCATACTATCTCTCCAGCCCCACTACTGCCTATTCTAATATTAGAAATCTTGTTCAAGCTGCCCTACTGTTTGAAATGCTTTAATATCATTGTATAACTCATCCAAAAAAATTTAATATATAAATATAGTTCTTATTACTCATTGACTATTTACACGTGTATTTAAGTATCTACCTAAAGAATACCTGAAAAGAGAGGTTCAGAAGAACACACCATTCTCCCAATTACTAAAATGAAAGAAGTGCTCTTAAAAATAAAGAAAATTAAAAACAACAACAACAACAACAACAAAAAACACCTTACCATCCTCCTCCTCTTCACTAACATAATCTGGTCTATTCTTATAGCAGAAAAAAGTTGGAGGAAGTTTAAGTTTGTTGGCAAGAATTTTCTGCTCAGGGGTCGGGGTTAATTCGTATACAATGAGAACATCATCATCATCTTCAGGATTTTCCTTCTCTTTTGCTATAACACAAGTAAAAAAAAAAAACAAAGATTTTTAAAAGGGAGTTAAGTATTAACGATATTCTTACTAAATAGATCATGGAATTCGTCTTTAGCTTAAAATATCATAATAAAATAAAAAATTTACAGGGGCTGGAGCGATAGCACAGCGGGTAGGGCATCTGCCTTGTACATGGCCAACCCATGTTCAATTGTCAGCATCCCATATGGTCCCCTGAGCACTGCCAGGAGTAATTCCTGACTGCCAAGTCAGAAGTAACCCCTGTGCATCACCAGGTGTGACCCAAAAAGCAAAATAAATAAAAATAATTTAGACAGGTTAATTCTAATAACCAAATAGATTTAGATAATTTCCTACAAAACCCCTCACCAACATACTATCTATTTAAAACCAAAAACATCCTTCTTTTACTTAGTAATTGCTGAAATTACTATTAATGGCTCTAATTTTAAATGGTAACTGCTGCCAAAGCTATATATGGTGTAACAGTAATTCAGCAGAATGTCCATGCATTTTCAACAATTGAAATCTGAGAAATAAGCAAAGATTAGTATACATAATAAAACTAATGCAAAGCCAATCTCTATTAGTTCCTGTGGTGTAAATTAACTACTGCCAAAGATGACTGGTGACTTGAATTGCAATCAGTTTTACACATGCCCAAGCTTGATAACAAATAAAATTAAATACAAACTGCTATTATGCTATGAGTAAACCATACTATAGGAATCTAAAGCAATTTCTATAACTGGAAAACCAACTACAAAGAGCAAAAACTGGAGGAAAATAAAACTCATCAGAATATCCGCTATGGTTTTTTATAAGAAGTTCTGAGTAGCAGAACTGACAAAGCCAACTTGTCAAAATTTCATCTGTTCCTATTTCACAAAGTTGTTGGGGGCAGTGGGTGCTGGAAAAGCAGGAAAAAACAAACTGTAAAAGGATCACCTCAGATAGTAATGGCAGGGGGTGCTGTACTGCAGATGATGTCAGGCACAGCAGGCCTGATGGTCCCATGCTCAGGGGAAGAGGTCATTAGGAGACTAGAAGGACCTAAATTTAGTAGTGCTTGGGGGGCCATGTACTGCTGGGCCTCTACCACTTGATGCACTGGCCTGGTACTAGAAAATGTTAAATTACATATACATAGATCAATGTTTTATATCCACTGAATGACACTGATCCAAAAGCCCCTTTATAACACTTAAGATGCATTTTGTTCTCCTTCATTACAAAAACTTAGAATTAACTCCTAGTCAAGGACAGCAAAAACAGCACAAGATACAGATTCTAGTTCTGCTGTTATGCACTTAATGAAGACAAGATGAGTTTAGTGGCATGCCTTAGTGTGTAGGACTCAGCTACCTCTATCTAAAATCTTCATCTCGAAGATCTTTTGGACCATAAAAATTTCAAATTTGAAATAAGGCTTTTACCCTTCAAGTGTATACCAGTAAATTTACGTCTACACTGGAGATTTAATGCCCAAGCAATCTGTCTGCAAATATATACCCTTTGCAGGGAAAAAAGTCCACACTTTTCAACTAATTTCTTAAGGACCACATCTGTAAGAACAGAAGATTAATGTATCCTGCTCTCTTGAAAGCTTTCAAGAAATCTCACTTCCTCTTAACTTCAATCTCATACCAACACTTACATTATAGATGATTTATACTCCACAGACATATAATATCAGATATATAATGGTGGCTATTAAAAAAGGGTATAATGCACCAAAGACAGTGCAGGGGTTAATATGCTGCCTTGCAGCCAGCCCCAGTTCTATTAGCAGTACTGCATGGTCCCCCCAAGCACTGAGGCAGGAATAGCCTGAGCACTGGTGGGTCATGTCCAAAAGCTGGGGCAAGGGCCAGTAGGGAGATAAAGTGCTTGCTTTGCATGGACCACCTAGTCCCTAGAGCACCACTAGACCCTGGGTCCTACCACAAGTGATCAAAAATTGCCCCACCGAACAGCATACTTAAAAATATAGTATTTTTTTCTAAGCTATTTCCAAAGAAATAGTCCAAAAGGGTCACAACGTTTCATAAGGTTATTAGCTACAGTCTTCACATGTTCAGATACTGGCAAACATTAGTAGCTAAATGTTAGAAAAAATATAGGTACTCATTAAGCAGAAAATGAGAGTAATGAGATAGAACACAACGAAAGTAAATATCCTGTGTTTACCTCAAAATAAAGTACAATGGGGAAAAAAAAATAACACCCAAGTACATTTAAAAAAAATAGCATCAAAAAGTATCAAATCACTAGTCAAAATATGACTGTTTATGCTGGCATTCTTTAACATGCACACTGTAATATTAAGTAGTTAATTTCATTAAGTCACAGTTCTTTTGTAAAAACTTGAAAAAAAAATGTCATCTCATCTGACATTACTAGCTCTATACCTTTATTCTCAGGTTGTGAGGAAGGGGTTCTGGTCCAAAAAGCCATTGGGTTAGATTTAAAAAGGATAAAATTAAATCCTAGAAAATAAAGAGCATTTGATTTTTGAACATTTTGAGAATTAACATACGATTTTAAAATGTAAAAAGTCAAAGACCCTGAATTTATAGAAATTTAGCTGTTCTCATTATCAATGGCTTCATTCTTTGCTTGGTTTTGTATAAAAACACATTTTAATCATTAAGGTCACTTTGAATAAAAAATGAACATCTCAGTGCCATGTTTGAGAAACAACAACCAATTGAACATCTTAAAGGAAAAACTCAATGCTCATGTTTCAAGTATAGTATTCATAATCTGCAGTATTGTACCAGGACTTGTTTTCTACCTTTAGTATGATGTAGATACTTTTCAGTAATTGCAATCTCTAAAATAACTTAAAAACATGTTGCTGTTTCAACACTCACAGATAAACTGAATAGAGAAGGAAAAAATCTAGGCAAGTTATTTTTTTTTCCTGCTTTTCAGAAAACACCATGTTAAATGACCCAATGAAGACATTTCTATCCTATGAAACATTTGAATCAAATATGAACATTAAAGGAAAAAAGGCTGGCGAGATAACACAGCCGGTAAGATGCTCATCCTTCACAGAGCAGCCTCACGCCCTGGCACCACAGGGTCCACTAAGCACTGCCAGGAGCAATCCCTGAGCAGAGCCTGAGGGATGAGAAGAGTAAACCTTGAGTACAGGTGGGTGCGCCCCACCCACCAACAAAAGAAAATAAATATTTGGTTTTATCTAAAGATTCAGTGCTTACCTTTTTCTTGTACATTACATGGATAGTTTGTTAAGGTCTCTTCCTTTGGAAAAGCAAAGAAATTCTTTCCTTTGACCTCTGAAGATACTCGACCATCTGAGTTTTCTGACTTCTCACGATCATTCAGTACCAAGTTTCTTTCAGGTCCACTCTGGACTGAACACGCTTCAATACTGTCACTTTTCAAAGGTGCATTAAAACTAAATCCAAACAAAGATCCAGTAGCTGAACTGTTGCCAAATGCAAATGGTTTTGATTTTTCACTACTAAAAATGCTCTTAACAGATTCTGAACCAAATACAAACTTTGGAGGCGAAACCACTGCTTTTGTTTCAGATGTGCTAGAGACTTCAACGTCAGGGGTTACATCTGCTGTCTCATCACTCTGAATCAAATCTGTCCTCTCTCTTGTGGTTTCTTCTAATACAGCAACAGCAATTTTGCCACATGGTGACTCTCTGGGAGTAACCAAACGAGATACATGAGGTGTGATCAAAGAAGCTTTTTCTTGGGCTAGTTTTGCTTCATCAAATATCTTCTTAAATGAGTCTGCAACATCCTGCAGTTTAAAACGAACAGCTAAATGTTCTATTTTTCTTTCTCCATCTGCAAAATCACAAGCAGTCCATACCCACACTCTTTCTGTCCCTTTCATATTTTGCAAAGTCATGTCTGGAGTTATTCTATGATTGGCACAAAGTTTTAGTACTTGGTCCCTTCTCATCACTATGCGAACTTGCTTATTATCATAATTCTGTAAAATTTTAATATCTCCAATGCCCCTTTCTTTCCACTGACCAACATCTTTATCATATCTATAGAGTTTTGCTCTGTGACTGAAAACAACTTGTTCATTTTCCTCACCACTGGACACTTCAACTAGATCAGGTAATGGCACAACAGGCTCAAAATACTGTCCATCTCTCTCTTCTTCTTGAGTAACATCTGATTCTTCATCAGTACCAACCGAAGTTCCACTCTGATTTAACTTGGCAGGAGACTTAGATGGACTCAGAGCAGACTTGAAACTGAAGTTAAATCCTGTTGTGGACTCACCAAAGCGGAATAGATTTTTTCTCACAGGGCTACTTGCCAACGGAGAAGCGTGTACTGAGCTACTACTTACACTGTCATCTAATGCATCTTCTCTTAAATCATAGTTATCCCACTCTAACGTAGGTCCTGTGTTTTCAGGATTTGATTTGGTGGGTGTATCTAAAGCACTAGCAGCACCTATACCTGTACTCTTATTCTCTTCATCAGTGACTTTTGTTTGATCATTTGTCAAAAATGTTTTGAAGTCCTTCAGACCACTCTTCATTTCTTCAGCTCTCTGTATTAACTTAGCAGCTCTGCCAGTATCCACAAGTTTATGAGGAGTTTGAAGCGGTATATCTAATAGAAGTCGCTGGCATTCCTCAAATTTCTGCTTAAATTCTTCAGCTAGCTCTGGTGTTTTAAATTTGGCTGCCAGTTGCTCTAATTTGGCATCACCATCAGAAAAATCACTGGCTAACCACATCCATGCTCTATCTGATCCAGAGAGAGGCTTCAGGTTCATCGTAGTTGTTATCCAATGATTAGCACAGACTTTCAGTACTTGTTCTCTTCGCATCAACATTCTTAGTTTGCCATTCACTTCATTTTTGAGAATTTTTAAGTTCCCTAAGCCTCGTTCTTTCCACTGGCTTATCTCAGCATCAAACCTAAATAATTTCACCCGCTGTGAATAAAGAACTTTTTCGTCTTCTTCTCCTGTAACAAGTTCTACTTTTTCAGGCATTTGAACCACTGGTTCAAAATGAATATCATCAGTATCTTCAGTCTTATAGGTATCATCATCTTTCTCAAGATCAGCAGAATTATCAGATTTATCCATCATTTTACCGCTTTGTGAGGAGAATAGTTTTTCTCCAGCCCCAGAAAATCCCTTGAAGTTAGGGTCTTTTTTGCCAAACTGAAATCCTTCACCTGAAGTTGATTTTGCAAGGTCTGCAAAGGTGAAAGAGCTACCAGACTGATTAAAAAATACACCACTGCAGTTTTTCTGACCACTAACATCCTGAGCCTGAAAAACAGGCTCAAGGGGTTTTTCACTCTTCTTCTCTTGATTTCCCAGTTCCTGAATGCCAAATTTAAGTCCATCAGCAGACACCGGGATAGAGAAGCTAAACCCTTCTTTTGCTGATTTAGAATCTGTAGAACCCTGAAACGTAAAAGAAGGTGTATTTTCTTGATCCGCTAGCCCAAATTTAAATCCTTGTCCTGTGTTACCAAATTTAAAAGATTTTTCAGAAAAGTTAGTTTTAAATCCTGTTCCTGACTGACTTCCGGAAGAATCATTTAACTTCATTTTTGAGCCCAATGTGAAAGCTGAAGGAGTTTCTGCAGCTGGTTTTTGAGTTGTCTTAGAAGCATCACAAGCAACACATTTTAAGGAAGAACTCTCATTCTGTACTAAGCAAACATTACAGTTCCACTGCCCTTCCTTCTTGGTGAATATCCCTTCAAATCCATTCTTAGAAGTCTTGACTACATCTGAAGAGGCAGGTGTTACATCAGTAGAAGTTGGTTGACTCTGCTTACTTGGATTCTCACAAGCAACACATCTGGAAGTATTTGCTTCATTTCGTAACAAGCAGACACTGCAATCCCACTGTCCTTCCTTCTTACTGAAGAGTCCTTCAAATCCACTCTTTGTGGGCTTACTTGTCTCTGAAGTACTAAATTTAAATAAAGCAGGTGCTGGGACAGTAGAAGTAGATGCACTGGATTGACCTGGAGTCTGACAAGCAACACATTTTGTAGCAGTTGATTCATTTCGTACAAAGCATTCACTGCAATCCCATTGTCCTTCCTTCTTAGCAAACATGTCTTCAAATCCAGTTTTGTGAGTTTTACTGACTTCTGAAGTACCAAACTTAAAAGTCGGTGCTGAAATAGTAGCAGTACGTGAACTCTGTTTTCTTTCATTCTGACAGGCAACACATTTTGTAGAGGTTCCTTCATTTCGTACCAAGCATTCACTGCAATCCCACTGTCCTTCCTTTATAGAAAAAGCAGATTTGAAATCACTATTAATAGACTTAGGAAGATCTCCCTGGCCAAATTTAAAGGAAGCTTGCTGAACAAGTGAAGATCCACTTTTGTTAGATTTGGTATTCTCACAATCCCAGTGACCTTCTTTCTTTGGAGACATCAAAGCAAATCTCTCTGGAGTACTTTCTGGACCCATTTTAACAGTGGAAACATTTTCAACTAATGATGAGCCAAGGAGTTCTTTATTGCTTGGGTTTACATTTTGGCATGATACACATTTCTTAGCAGTCGCAGCATTCTTTAATGAGCAGCTGTTACAATGCCACCAAGGCCCTTCTTTCTTTGTAAACTGAAAATCAAAATTCATGCTTCCTGAATCAGATCTGCAGACATCCTTACTATCATGACTTTTAACTTCTTTTACAATTCTTATAGCCTGATTTTTCGTTGTGGATACATTTGCTCCTGGGGCTTTTAAAATGCACTGAGCCTCTTCAAACTTGCACTTAAAAAGTGTTGCTTCCTCGGGAGTTTTGAATCTTATAGCAAGTTGCTCTGGTTTGGGCAACTCATCAGCATAATCAAGAGCATGCCATACAAAAGATCTGTCTGATCCAGCATTTGGAGTAAGTCTCATATCTGGACTGATGTAATGATTCGCACAAATCTTCAATACTTGTTCCCGTCTCATTAGAAGGCGAATTTTACCAGATGTTTTATGCCTCAGTATCTTTACATTGCCAATACCACGTTCCTTCCATTCTTTAGATTCTACATCAAAACGAAATAATTTTGCACGATTGCAGAAGAATTCTTCTTCATCTTCCTCACCAGTTTTTACTTCAATCTTATCAGGAAGCGGTACCACAGGCTCAAAGTGAGGGCCATCATCATCATCATCATCACCGTGGGCACTTCCTCCATCTGTTTCATGACTCTTGTTAGCCAGTTCTGAAGGTGTTCCGAATACTGACTTCCCTGGGTCCCGGAAAGTAAACATATCATCATTACTTTGACTAAAACCAGAGTTCTTCTGCTGATTTGAACCCATGTTTTCAGAAAACGAAATTTCAGCCACACTTTTGCTTCCAAAGTTGAAAGTATTTCGAGGCCCAGTGGTGTGTCCAGCCTTAGAGCTACTGAAGCCATCTCCTTGCAATGGTTTATCTGAAGTTAGGAGACCTAATAGGCTTTCGCTATTATTGTAACCTGTAGAAGAAGGCTGAGTCACAACGTGTGGTGAGGAAAATGTGAAGTCACCATCATTTGATTTAAAATTTGAGTTAAATTTAAAAGGAATTGACTGTGTTGCATGGGCAGGTGCTGTCAAAGACGGTCTTATTCCATCACCTGGCACAGGCTGAACAAAATTAGTCTTTCCAAATTCCATAACCTTAGATTCTGTAGATCGTGAAGCATGAGATGCAAGTGGAGGTTTTGTGAAATAACCTGGCTCTGGCAAAGGGGGATTTGTGCTTGGCTGCTGAACATTGTAATTAAAGTAATCATCACCCCTGGGTGATAGAATTCCAGTTGCAGGAGACTCAAAACGCAGTGGAGGCCCATACATCTCTTGAGAGAACATACAAGCAGATGAACTTTGTACTGGCGGTGTGTTCATCTGTTGTGAATATGCATAAATATGCTGCTGAGGTGGAAGCCTATTCATGCCATAAACTGGAGGACCCTAAAAGGAAGAAATAAAAGTTTTAAAAGATGTTGTAGGCTTTTTCAAACTACATATAGTTCTTAAACTAATTTCTACTAACTTTAAAAATAAGCATTAAAAAGTAGAGAGATCATTAAGATATGTGGCATATCATTAAGAGACATTAAGGAGCTGGAGCAAAAGCACAGTGGGCCGGGTGTTTGCCTTGCACAGGGCCGACCCAGGTTTGATTCCCAGCATCCCATATGGTCCCACGAGCACCACCAGGAGAAATTCCTGAATGCATGAGTCAGGAGTAACCCCTGTGTAATGCCAGGTGTGACCCAAAAAGGAAAAAAATTAAAAAAACAAAGACATTAATACAAAGACAGTTTTCCATAGTGATTCAGCAAGGACATCCTAGTCCTTTTCTACCAAAATACAACGATTGCAGGTACTAGCACAACTACTTTTGATTAAAAATAGTCTAAATGTTCATACCATTTAAAAAAAGTGACTGAAATATTACAAGTGTATCTCAGAGAGAAAATTTAAATATAACTTCGTGGGACACGAACATTTTAATGCTTAACTACTTCCGTAATTACCTTAAAAGAATACCAAACAATAAAAAAGGAAATTTATAAATGTATAAACTATTCCCTTGTTACCTTTGTGGGAGTAACATTAGCTGCTGGTCTGAGAAGATACTGGGAATTATATGCTGGTGATTGACTATAATATACTGAAGGGCCCGTAGTTGCAACTGAAAAAGAGAGAGAGAGAGAGAGAGAGAGAGGGGAGGGGAGGGAGGGAGGGAGGGAGGGAGGGAGGGAGGGAGAGGGAGAGGGAAAGGGAAAGGGAAAGGGAAGGGGAAAGGGAAAGAGGAAGGAAAGGGGAAGGAAGACAGGAAAGAAGAGGAAGGAAGGAAGGAAGGAAGGAAGGAAGGAAGGAAGGAAGGAAGGAAGGAAGGAAGGGAGGGAGGGAGGGAGGGAGAGGGGGGTGAGGGGGGAGAGGGGGAAGGGAAAGGGAAGAAGGAAAAAGGGGAAGGAAGGAGGGAAGGAGGGAGAAAAAATTCTGTTAAAGTCTGTACTACAATTAAGACTATCCAAGCAAAAACTACAAATACAAAAGTAATAGAAATTTTTAAAAAGATAACTAGATTTTTTAAATTTCTGTACATCAAAATATACCATAAAAAGATTATCAAATGATAAACTAAGAAAAACGGCTGAATATGACACATGATGAGCTTAGAGAACAGCACCATAGAGGGACAGAGCAATGCTATAGCAGGGAGGGCACTTGACCTGCATGCGGCTGACCCAGGTTCAATTCCTGGCATCACATACAGTCCCCCCCCAATGCAGCCAGGTGTGATCCATCAGTACAAAACTATTAATAAGCATCTGCTTGATCTGTTTTCTAGGTTTTATCATAAAGTAAAAATACTTAATGATGAATCAATCACACTTTCACATAAATAAAATGGAAACTCTGATCCAAAGGTGCTTAACAATTGGTTTAGTTTGAAAAGTGCTAAAAAAGATGTAGAAAAGACAAGCCAGCAAGTCTCTTTATCCTCTCTACAGTTACTAGAAAAGTTAAAATTGCTAAGAAGTTTCTTTAATTGGAAAAACTGGAAATGCCTCATTGAGATGGCTATTTTGGTACTACTTTAGAAAGAAAACTCACATAGGATATAAATTAGTCTATCGAAATGTGACAAAACCTTAAAATCTAAAATTTAACCAAGCTATTTTGGTTGGTGCTATACAATGATTTGATTCATTTTAAGTTAAAACTCTAAGTAAAACTCCTGAAACACACCCACACATATAAATTTTCACAATAATAAAATGAGGAAAGTATTATCATTACTGTCATCACATTTCAAACAGACCAACTGGCTCAGAGGTGACAGACCACAACCAATAAATCCAATGTATTCGAGCTCCAAAGTCCTTTATTCTGAGTATTAAGGCATTTCAAAGTAAACAGTATTTCCAGTGGATGACACAACTTAAAACTCTCAGTGTATCATCAAAATAATTCACTGAAAGTTTAGTCATCTCCATACATAATATTATTTTTTTAATGAATAGGAATAGTGTGACCTAAGTCTTCTGATATATGTTCAAGATTCTTTATCTTTCTAACCACTGGATCTGACTGCCATTTCAGCTTGAAGCTATAAAGTCTCAATAATAGTAAAAAAAGTTTAAGTAACATAAGACATAAAAACATGTATATAAACAAATGTAGGCAAAATGACTTCACAAGTTATTTATTTTAAAAACGGAAAGTACTGTGATTTTACTAAGGTCGAGAATAATCCATTGGTCAAATTCACCTGTTAGTGGAGCCCCATGAAAATTCTGTGATCCCTGATAACCATCAGGCACTGAATCTGGTCCATAATTTTCTGTAGACCAACGATGGGGGGACCCTGAGTTACTGCTATTTAGTTTCAACTCCTGCATTTCTTTCTGTTGAGAGAATGAATCAATTTCAAACAATAATACTATGCTGGAAAACTGCTAGAACAAGCAAAAACTTTAAAATTTAAAGCCTTAAACCCTTAATAAAATCTTAGAGTATCTATCTCCCAGGAGCTAGATATGTAGTCCAAAGTAGAGCATTTGTCTGTTCGAGAATCTGAGTTCAAGTCCCTAGTCTGTCTCTACCTCTCCCCCCCAAAATTCCTATACTCCAGTAAGATCCGAGTGTCAGGTGCCAATCTAAGAACATGACTATTACGTTAAAACCTATTCTTTCAGTCCATGGTACAATATCCTAACTAATTCACTCCTGATTGGTTGCCTCTAACCTAAACTGTGTACCTAAATGTTTCATCTCAATTTCTATGCACACATCTCTAAACTGACATTTCTTAAAGTTCTACTATATTCAAGACAGTTTCCTGTGCAGAGGCTAACAGAGGGTAGGGCATTTGCCCTGCAGATTCAATCCCCAGCAACCTCTATGAGTCCCCAAGTTCCATCAGGAGTGATCCCTGAGTATAGAGCCAGGAGTAAACCTTGGGGACTGCCAGGTATAGATCCTCTATCTCCCCAAAATATTCCCTGCTTTAAAAAAAAAGAAAAAGTATAGGTTAAATGTCTTTCTCTAACATTCATGGTCCTCAGCAAAATTATTCTAAATATTTTTCCACAATACTTTGCTCTTTATCTGAACTTAATGTACCTGCCCTTCCAAAGCTAATATTACTACTAGCTTTCACTTTTTCACACTTGTAACAAAATATAAGTAACATAAATATAACAATATATTAATAATCTTTCAAGGGAATGAATGCTCAAATGATGTACCTGAAGAGAAAAAGAGTATTTATGAAATTTTACACATCCATGTACAGAGAGGGCTGGAGTGATAGCACAGTGGTAGGGTGTTTGCCTTGCGCACAGCCAGCCTGGCTGAGCCAGGTTCGATTCCTCTGCCCCTCTCGGAGAGCGACCGAGAATATTCAATATGCCAAACACAGTAACAAGAAGTCTCAATGGAGACATTACTGGGCCCGCTTGAGCAAAATCGATGAACAACAGCAGAACAGTGTTTGTTTTGTACATATGTATGGGGAAGAACCCCAAGAAGATGTCATAATGGGGAATATCTGGCAGCATCTGTTGTTGATACTTGACTGTCACTCAAACACAAACATAAAAAGCCAAATTCTTTACACTTTCTTTAAAAATTCTTTCCAGATTCTTTACAATAAGAAATAATTACAGGGCTGGAGCAATAGCACAGCGGGTAGGGCATGGGTGTTTGCCACACGGCAGACCCAGGTTCAATTCCCAACATCCCATATGCTCCCCTGAGCACCACCAGGGTTAATTCCTGACTGCAGAGCCAGGAGTAACCCCTGTGCATCACCGTGTGTGGCCCATAAAGAAAAAAAAGAAAAAAGAAAAGAAAAAAAAAGAAAGAATTATAAACATCAAAAAATGTGTTGGGGGGGAGGGGTGAGGGGGAGACACAGAAAACAGCACAGTTCTAATTCAAGCAGGAGCTGGGAGATGCTACAGTGGCAAAGGCTCGTGTCTAGCATGCACCCAGCCAGGCGTGAATATGACAATGCACGGTTCCCAAGTATCACTGGGATAGCCCTAAAGGTTCAGCACCACCAGGGTAGGGCAGGAACCCCCAGCAATGCAGAGCCTCATCAGGAGAGCATCTTCCACCCCTTACATTGAAGTGAAAATCACTAGTCTCCTCACCACAGACACCCACTCTGTGTCCAAAAAGAAAAAAAAATCTAACATCTTACAACAAAAATATTTTTATAGTAACACTGAGCTGTTCCCCGAACTAACTGGCCTACTATGTGGCAATTGAGACTTTGGTCATTTTATAAACATCTAAAAACCTAGAATTCACCAAACGGGTAACTATCAAGACACTCTTTTTCCAAATAAACATAGGGCATCAAACAGTCTACTTTTGAAAACAGTATCTAATATCTCCACTTGGGCTCAAGTATATAATCACTTATGGATCCGAGACAGTATTTTCAACCAACACTTCCCCAAAATCCATACCTATACCTACTGACATCCAAACACATCTCAAATTCTTTTTTTTTCCTTGCTTTTTTGTCACACCCCGCGATGCTCACAGGTTATTTCTGGCTCTGCACACAGGAATTACTCCTGGCAGTGCTTGGAGGACCATATGAGATGCTGGGGATTGAACCTGGGTTGGCTGCATGCAAGGCAAACGCCCTCTCCATGCTGTGCTATCACTTCACCCCACATCTCAAATTCTTAAGCCAAATAAGTTTTTCCCATTATGCCTAGGTCATTTTACACATCCAAAATCTAACAAACTAGTGGAAGAGTGACCATTAGAATCTTTCTGGACCACAGTTTTGACAAGCCAAGTAATTAAAATTTACAACTTAAATTCATAATTTCTCAGAGCAACTAGAAAGCAGTTACATATTCACTTTATATGAAAAGCCAGAAAAATCAAAAGTGCCTGGTCCCCAGGGCAGGAGTGGCAGAACAGACTAAGGTACCTGTTCTGCATACCTGGGTTTAATCCCTGGCATCCCAATGTTCCCAGGATTCCACCAGGAGTGACCACTGAGCACAGATCAAGGAGTAAACCCTGAGCACTGCTGGATGTGGCCCAAAAACAAAAACAAAAAATTGTGTGGCCCAAGATCATTGTAAAAGTTAGCAATCTCCCAAGAGATTGATCTTGTGAAAGTTACTGTCACTAGATCAATTTTGTAAATGTTAGTTATTAGCAATGTAGCACTGTCCTCCCGTTATGTATTGTTTTGCTCGAGCAGGCACCAGTAACGTCTCCATTGTGAGACTTGCTATTACTGTTTTTGGCATATCGAATATGTCACAAGGAGCTTGCTATTAATTCCAGCTTTTTCAGAAATGTTGACTGCTACTCACTAGACTTTCAGTAAATACAATCATATTAGAAAAATTAACTGATTTACCTTAATGGCCTCTACTTGTTGGCAGATCATTTTAAGTAAAGAATTTTGATCTTCAGCCCATCGAGGTGGAGTTTTGGGAGAATACTTAAGAAAAAGAAAAGAATAACAAAAGTATTTAAAGAACTTTGAATAAAAATATTCTGCAATAGTATAATGAAAAAAAGTATAAGTAAATTCCTTCCTCCGTTTACCTTGTAACTTTTGCTTGGTGACAGAGAATATTTGGTGGGAGATGGAGTAGAATGTTTTATTTCTGAATCTGCATTTCGCAAAGAACCATTTTTATATAGAGGTCCTCCTTCACTATAGTCTTCCAGTTCCTGCATGACCGAATTAAGCATTTCCTTTACAGACTCCAGGGGAACAGGCAACTAAAATCAAAAGACATATAATCAAAGGGCTTCATATTTTCCCATATTAATAGAGGAATAAGTTCTAAAATAAGTCTGAAGATTTTCTTATATATCTCTTTTTTGGTACAATAAGCATTTTACGCCTAACACAAAACATAAAACATGTGTAATCTAAAGTCTTCTAACTCTGGACTATTGGTTTCTATTCCTTCATCATCTGTAATTATGATAATGGCAACTGGGAAGATTTTACCAAAATTATTAACATTTTCTAATACATTTTGAAAGGGAAGAGAAATATAGACAGTAGAATGCAAAGACAATATAAGCCGTAATTAAAGAGCAGCAAAACAAATTTTTTTAAATACTGATCAGGCCAACTCAGTTTCGACTGCTCTGCCCTTCTCGGAGAGCCCGGCAAGCTACCAAGAGTATCTCACCCGCACTGCAAAGCCTGGCAAGCTACCGGTGACGTATTCATTATGCCAAACACAGTAACAACAAATCTCACAATGGAGATTACTGGGCCCACACGAGAAAAACAGGAAGACAGTGACAGTGACTTGGAAAGTTAAATATAACTGATCAACACTCCACAGCAATCTCCAACTGCTGTTAGAAAAAACAAGAGTTCATAGCAGCTAAAGATGAGAAGAAATGCTCAGAAGTTATTAGCAACTATTGTTGATTCCAGGAAAAAAAAAATTATAGGATCTACACCCAGCGGTTGCAGTCCTGAGGGCTCTATACTCAAGAGACCAAGATAACAAAAATAACTGTCTTTAGAAGCTTTTCTATTTTCCCAACAAGTATTTTTATAGAAATAAAAGCCTAAACTCAAGTTTAAAAAGACATCAAACCAAAGAAAGTAACACTAAAACTCAAACAGTGTCTGTCCTACCACGCAATGGTAGCAAAATTATCAACATAGAAATGGCAAAAATATTTATCACCCAGTATTCAATAATAAATACAAATAACCAGCAACTTACTTTCTTGGCCACTGAAAAATCTGAGTCACTGTTATCTAGTATCTTTATTAGGTAGTCCCTGGCCTTCCGCAGATAATTTTTGCATTCTTCTTGCTCTTCAGGAGAGAGGGCATCATTTTCAATGTCTTCTGCTTTTCTGTGAAAAATCTATATAGAATGCATTTATGAAACAATCATAAGCTTTAGGGAAAAAAAGAAAATTGTAGGGGCCAGAGATAGTACAGGGTAAGGCACCTGCCTTATATATGGTCAACCCCAGTTCAATCCCCAGCACCAAACATGGACAACCCCACAAGCATTGCTAGGAGTGATCCCTGAGCATAGACTCAGGAGTAAGCCCTGAGCCCCATCAGGTGCGGCCCCAAGATAAACAAAATAAAAACAAACAAAAAAGAAACTCTGCAATTCAAGTACTATGTCTAGTTACCAGTGCAAGATTCCAATAAGAGACAACATTTTTTATAGATTCAAAAGCAGTCATAGCATCTTCTATATTTCCATTAACTGCATCCAAAATAGCAAATGTTATATGTGCTTCTTCTTCATATTCTCCAATTTCAGATGCCTAAAAAAATTTAAAAACAGGCAAATTACCTATCTTATAGAATTTACAAAATTTCTGTTTATAAACTGGAAACCCGTATCTCCATGATGTACAGAGCATTTCTCCATTATTTTATTCATTCATCCATACATCACAGTGTCATGAATCAAACCAACAGCCTCCAATTTGCAAGGCATATGTCATACCCTTGCCCCCCACTATTACCTGAATGTCTGCACTATGAAAATGTTTAAACAGAGGGTCAATAGGTTCAGGAATACTGTTCTTCTTTTTTATTGTCTTCAACAACTGCAGAACCTTTTTCCAATAATGAACACTCCTGCCTATGTATTCCCGCTGGTCATAAAAAGAATTAAGACCACTGCCCTAAAAATAGAAAGTTAGAATCATCTCTACAGAACACAAATAAGATACAAGAGAAAAATGTAACTAAGGTATTGTAAAGATTTTTAAAAACGCATAACATTCCAAATATTAAAGAGACATCCACCCCAGAATAACACTGTTACTGGTACTTTCAATAAAGCTACTTAATGAAATACTTCTAACCATTTTTTTTTTTGGTTTTGAGATTATTACTAGCTCTATTCTCAGGGTTCATTCTAATTAGAGATAGAACTCAGACTTCCTACATACAAAGCATGCACACTACCCTTTGAAACATCACTCCAGTCTCACCCATTTTTTTTAAACAACAATAGTTTTAAATAGTTGAAAACTGCAGCATTCTATCATGGTTTAATAAAAAATACTACACAACTATACCTAATAATGCTGTAAAATAGGTCTCACATGTTTTGAAAGACCTATAATGCCCTTACTTATAGAGTCTTACCTAAGAGTCTTACCTAAAGGTCTTACCCTTTAAATAACTTTCAGGTTGGAAAATAATCACCGTTATTAAGCAACAAAAGCAACAGTTAATATCCACGGTAACATTTACCATGTACTAGGTTAACAGTCTATGTATTACATATCTAGCAGCAAATTAAAACATATGTACATATATTTCACTATCCTAATACCAGCTTTTGCTTTCAAAACTAAATGGTTTTAAACAAGAAGTTTAATTTCTAAAACTTATAATAATTTTCTTGGGGCCAAGAGATAGCTCAATGGGCTAAGCACATGCTCTGATGCAGGAAACCCAGGTTCAATACCAAAATCACATGATCCCCCAGAACACCACCAGGATTAACCCTGACCATCAAGCAAGAAGAGTTCTAAACCAAATTTAAAAGAAAAAATTAAAACAAAGACGGGGAAGAAAGAGATGAAAGAATAATTTGAAATTAATTCTTAAAAGCATTACTTTAGGGTCAGAAAGACAGGACAGAGCATTTGAGCTGCATATGGTGACCCAAATTCTAACCCCCGTACCCCATATAGTCCCCAAAGCACCGCCAAAAATGATCCCTGAGCACAGAACCAAGAGTAAGCCCTGAGCACCGTGGCCCAAATACAAAACACGCTCTGAATGGACTTACTGTTTTCTGAAGGTATTCTGCCCAGTGTATAAGAAGAGCAGGTTGAAGGCCATGCTTTTCCTGGGCCCTGAGAGTATTTATATCATGCTGAACAAGAAGCCGCAATTTCGCTGAAGTTCCAGGTCTAAAAATATTTTATTGTGTAAATGTTTATAAACACATAGTTCAACACTTAGGTATACAATAGAGCCCCCCACTCCCCATATCCACAGAGATATACATTCTAAAACTGCAGATAGAACCCTATATATAACATGAATTTTATACACAAGTAGACGAAGAATAAGCTTAATTTATAAATCTGGCAAAGAAAAAGATTAATAACAACCAACAAAATAAAACTTTTTGTGACAAGACTTATGTGACTATGTATGGTATGTCTCAAAATATTTTTGTAGAATATTTTATGGCCACAGTTGACAATATGGATAGAAACCACCTATTGTGGAGGGTACAATTGGTCATGTGCTTCTCTTCCTGTAGGAGCAGGGAAATAGCACAGGCATAGTGTATTTTCCCTGCCTGTGTCCAACCCACATAACAGGCCCTAGCAACCCCTATGGTCTCCTGAGACCACCAGGAGTGATCCCTGAGGGCAAGACAGGAGAAAGCCCTGAGCACCACTGGGTGTGCCCCAAAAATCAAAAATTAACCTCCACGTAAATTAATTGCTGATAAAGCCCAACCAGTAAATTAAACATGTATACTACTTACACTGCTTTTCTGTGGATTAGATTACAAACTGCATCCCACCAAGACTTTTGTCTTTCTGTACAAAGCTGTTTACATACAGGAAGTGGCAAGCACAATGGATGATAGAAGCTACAATGAGAATTAGATTTCTCCTTCAATTGTAAGTGGCTAGTATATATTACTCCAAGAAGAAACACCTGTTTTGATTAAAAGTAAATTTGTTACTTTACATTAAAAAATTTAAACCAAAGTTCCCACACCCTTTTTCGTTGTTGTTGCTGTTAAAAAGTGTATACAGTCAGCCAGCCTCACTTCAATCCTCACACTCAATACTGTCCCCTCAGCACCAACGGAAAGATCTTTGGGAAGAGATCTGGAAAAAGTCCTGAACACTGCCAAGTGTATCGCCAAACCAAAATTAAACAAAATCAAAATATTTAATTTATCAAAATCTTGGCTTACTTCAAGATCTAAAATACATAATGATTCAGGTGAATTTGTTTCAAGTCTTGAGGTTTCCTGAGGCAGATGATGAAAAAGCTGTTTTAACCATTTTCGAATTGCAGGTAAAGAAGGCAATGAATTCCACTGCATGCCAAGCCAAGTAAGATACTGAAGACTACCATTATGTGCTCGAATGGCACCTGAAAGAAAACATACAAAAAAAACTCAAAGTTCAGGTAACTCTATGTGCAACCACTTTTATCAACATAAAAAAGCAATGTACACTGTAGCACTGTCCTACCGTTGTTCATTGATTTGCTCTAGGGGCACCAGTAACGTCTCCATTGTGAGACTTGTTGTTACTGTTTTTGGTATATTGAATACGCCATGGGGAGCTTACCAGGCTCTGCCGTGTGGGCGGGATACTCTGGGTAGCTTGCCAGGCTCTCGAGAGGGAATAAGGAATTGAACCCGGGTCAGCCGTGTGCAAGGCAAACGCCCTACCTGCTGTGCTATTGCTCCAGCCCCAAAGTACACTAAATGTTTTAATTTTAGAATTATTTTTCTGCATCAGAGCTCAGGGAAGTTCCATGAGAAACAAGGTCTCATGGTTCTTAATGAAAAGTATTCACACTTTTGAGCCAGGAATGCAGCTCAGTAGTACCTGCCCTGTATATGTGAGATCCTAATTTCAATTCCTAGCACCAAAAGATAAATAAGCAAGGAAATGAAAATACAGTTTATATCTAGATCAGAAAATTCAAATCCATCTAAAAAGATACTCACTAGAACTCAATAAAGCAAAATCAAAAAAAAAAAAGGCAGAAGTGAAATAAATAATTGTACCATACAGTAAGAAAACTTAAAACAGATTTTTCCTTAATGCACTGAGAAATATTGTGGTAACAGAGATTTTTTTTTTTCCTACATGAAATTTAAGACAAAGTTATGGGTTTCTGCCTATATGGCAACTTGCAAGACTTTTATACACAAACATCACTTTTGTCCCAGCAATTGTTTTTAATAATCTCTATGGGGAAAAATTGAAATATAGTTTTCATGACAGTATTAACAGTAAAAACCTGAAAACAAGAGATAACTAATCCATGGATAAATCCAAATAGATTATATTGGTCACCTTCCTCCCCACATCCCCAAAAAGGCCTGAAATACTGGAAAATATCAAATCATTATTTCTAGAAAATTAGATTGCACACAATTTATCTATTTCCCTTTTTGCTTTTATTTTTCTAACATTAAAGATGAAAAACATGTATTTTAAAAGATAAAACTCAAACGATAAAACTCACCAAGATCGTATCTAGCCAAATCATCAAGTTCTGGTGCTTGTCCATCAATGTTTCCAAAATCATCACTACCAAGGAAAGATCTATCCTTAGATGGCTGACTAGAAAATAAAGCATCATATAAAGCTGACTGACCACTTTTATTGGCAAAGGACTCCATAACTTCCTTTAAAAAATCTTGCTTATCATGACTTAAGTTTAGCAGCATGTGCCCTGAAAAACAAGAGTAATTTCTATCATTAAAAAATATTTTTACATCTCAATAGTTTCACAGTAGTTTCATTCATAATACCCTTAAAAGAAAAACCATGACAATCCTAACAGAGCTAGACAACAAAAGGATTGATTATGCAAAATTATGAACATAGGTTGCAGGTTTAACAAAATCTGTGTCTACATGCTAGAGTAAAAGCGAAGAAAAACGGCTTGCTCTTCAAGCCCATATTCCTCTCTAAACACATTATCTCACTTGCTTGTCTGTTTCTTTGCTTTTTTCCACTCTGGAGAAGACTGTGTTCTCCACTGAATGTGTGCCCCAATATCTCCCCTCATATCTTTCTAAGTAAGTTTCAATAAAAACTATCTTGCTTCACAAAAAAAAAAAAGGGAAGATGGCAGTAATGTGTAAAAAATATGAGGCGTAAGATGAAAAAATTAGGCTTTTAAAGGACTTAATCAAGAAGTCTGAGGTAAGTAAACGACCTTAAAAACATCAATGTTATCCAACCCCATCCAAAAATGGGGCAATGAAATGAACAGAAACTTTCTCAAAGAAGAAATCCGAATGGCAAAAAAGCACATGAGAAAATGCTCTACATCATTAATCATCAGGGAGATGCAAATCAAAACCACAATGAGAAACCATCTCACACCTCAGAGACTGGCCCACATTCAAAAGAACAAAAGCAACCTATGCTGGCGTGAATGTGGCGAGAAAGGGACACTCCTTCACTGTTGGTGGGAATGCAGACTGGTTCAGCCCTTCTGGAAAACAGTATGGACGATTCTCCAAAAATTAGAAATTGAGCTCCCATTTGACCCAGCAATACCACTCCTGGGAAAATATCCCAGAGAGGCAAAAATGTATAGTCGAAGTGACATCTGCACTTTTTGTTCATTGCAGCACTCTTTACAATAGCCAGAAACTGGAAGAAACCTGAGTGCCCAAGAACAGATGACTGGTTAAAAAAACTTTGGTACATCTACACAATGGAGTACTATGTAGCTGTTAGAAAAGATGAAGTCATGAAATTTACATACAAGTGGTACAACATGGAAAGTGTCATGCTAAGCGAAATGAGTAAGAAAGAGAGGGATAGACATAGAAAGATTGCATTCATATTCATCTGCGAGATATAAGTTAACAAAATATGAGATTAATACCCAAGAATAGCTGAGATCAGCACCAGGAGGATTACTCCATAGCTTAGAGGCCAGGCGGGCATTCTAGAGGAAAGAGCAGCTCAGATAAGAAGGGAGCACCAAATAAAGGGTGTTTGGAGGATCCTCCCAGGAGGGGAGATGCATGTTGAAAGTAGACGATGGACTAAACATGTTTGCCACTCAATGCAGACCACAACGCCCAAAAGAGGAGAGAGAACAAAAGGGAATGGCCTGCCACAGAGGCAGGGTGGGATGGGGGAAATGGGGGTGGGAGGGATATTATCCATGGTGGCAGAAAATGGGCACTGGTGGAGGGATGGGTATTTGATCATTGTATAATCGAAACCCAAGCACAAAAAATTGTAAATCTACAACTGTACCTCATGGTGTTTCACTAATAAAAATTTAAAAAAAAAAAAACCACCAATGTTAGAGAGGAAAGAGGAAAGTGCCTGCCATAAAGGCAGGGGATGGGATGGGGTAGGAGTGGCAGGAGGGATACTAGGGACATTGGTGGTAGAAAATGTACACTGATGAAGGGATGGATGTTAGATCATCGTATGACTGAAACTCAATCATGAAAGCTTGGTGATTCAAAATCACGGTGATTCAAAAAAAAATTTTAAATAAAAATAAACACACATCGATGTGGGACGGACCTGTAGGATAGCAGATAGGGTGATCTCCTTGCACATGGCTGAGTTCAATTCCTAGAATCCCCTATGGTGCCTCAAGCATCACCAGGAGTATTTCCTGAGTGCAGAGCCAGGAGTAACCATTTGGCATCTCAGGGTGTGACCCAAAAATCATTTGGCATCTCTGGGTATGACCCAAAAACAAAAACACTGATGACATGAGCCAGAGTATAGCTTAGCAGTATAGAGCAATATAGAGTATAGTAGAGCCTTGCACACAGTCACAGGTTCAATCCCAGCACCACAAATGGTCCTTGGAGCACTGTCAAGAATGGTTCCTGAGCACAGAAGCAGAAATAAGCCCTGAGTACTGCTGCATAGAGTCCAAAACTCCCCAAAATTAAAAATGATGATGGCTGGAGAGATAGCTCAACAGGCTGAGCATGTAGGAGACCCAGAGTTCATCCCCGATGTCAACACTGGCACCCAAGCACCACTGGGAGTGAACCCCAAGCTTAGTATGAGATGAAGTCACTGAGCACTATTGGACGGTACCCAAGAAACACTGACAATATACCAGAATGATGATGTTCCAGTACATATTGTAACATGTATAGAAGTTAAAGATACTATCCTAATGAAAGAAGTCAATCACTAAAGATCACACATTCACTGTATATGAAATGTCAAGAACAGGGAACTCTAGTGAGAGTTTAGTAGCTGCCCAAGACTGGGAGTCTGGAGAAAAATGGGTATGAAATACCTTTCTGAGGTAATGAAAGTGTTCTAAAATTGAGTGTAGACTGCTTAACTCCGTGAAACTAAACAACATGGAATCATCAACTTTAAATGGGAGAATTACGTGGTATGTTACTCTGTGGAATAATTCTGCTTCTCGGGTTTTTGTCTTCCCATTAATCTGTATTAATACCACAACTTGAAAATGCCACCAGAATATTCTCTTTCCAAAAACGTGCAAAATCAAGATTAAACACAGACCAAAGAAATCAAAAAGTAATTTTACTATCTCCTAACATTCTGCAAAGGCACCTGAGGCAGCCCTGAAAAAGCTGAGGAGACATAAGAAGCAGAGTGCTGAGCACATGCTTTGCAAGCAAAAGGTACAGGTACAATACTTGGCACCACATAGTCCCTCAAATACCACCAGGTCAAAATTTAAAAAAAAAAAAAAGTAAAGTCACTTTTTCAAGACTCAAAGTCTACTAAAAATTTTGATCAAACTACATATCAAAGCTTATAGTATTGTATAGTACTTGTTCTTTACAAAATTCATTCACTTCAATACAAAACTGCTCCCACAGAGAACATGTTTCTTCAAATCACTGCTTGATACTATCCTCCTGAACATTTTGAAGATTTTGTTTTAGCAAAACCACAGGCAATATGTAATGAACACTTAGGATCCATCCAAAACCCAGGAAATACTGGCAACAGATCTAAATTCCTAAAGCCTTACGCTACTGAGAGCTCCTTAATAAAAGAGCACATATTTTCATCCTTCTATCACCCAGTGCAGGATCTGAAAAATAAATGGCATTGAGACCAAAGAAACAGTACAACAGGTAGGCACTTGCCTTACTTGGAAGTGACCCAGGTTTGATCCCTAGCACCCAATATGGTTACCAAGTCCACCAGAAGTGATCTCTAAGCACCAGAAAGCCCTGAGAACAGTCAGATGTGGCCTCAAAACAAAACAAAAAAGCAAATGATGCTGAGTGGCTGGCAAATCAGTAATCTTAATTGAGTGTTGTTAGAAGTTCGGGTTATGGGACAGAAAGCTGGCATATGGATTTCCTTGTGTGCAGCTAACCCCAGCTCAATTCCTGAACACCATACATGGTCCCCAAGCACAGAGGCCTAAGTAAACTCTGCTAGGTATGGATCCCAAAAAAATAAAAAGAAATTTTTTATTTCTACTGCTGGGTGTGGCACTCCAAAAAAGAAAAAGCAGTTTTAGGTTAGGTACTAGTAAGACAAATCAAAGAGCTATACACATACTCACATGCGGTAACCCTGGCTTTGATCAACAACAGTATGGTCCTCAGTGTACTGCCACCGGTGACCTCTAAGCACCACACTGCTTAGGTCTGGACCATTTAAAAAATTATTCAAGAAGCCAGAACAAGTCCAGCAGGTAGGCCATTTGCCTTGCATGCGGCTGAACTGGGTTCGATTCCCTTCACCCCATTTGGTATCCTGAACACAGCCAGGAGTAATTTCTGAAGGCAGACACAGGAAGAACTCTTGAGCAATGCTGGGTATGACCCAAAAGCAAAAACGAAAAAATTATTCGGACACCAGAGACATAGTACTGTACAGGGGTAAGGCACTTGCCTTGAATGCAGCCAACCCAGATTAGACCCCCCAACATGGCATATGGACCCCTAGCATGCCAGGAATGACATGAGCAGGGAATAAGCATAGAGTCAGGAGCATATCCTGAGCACTGCTGGTTGTGGCCCAAAATCAAAAACAAAAATTTCAGGTTAAATGCTCTAGCAACTAAAAAAGACGTTAAGGAGCTTATCTACAAGTAAACTCTATGAAATAATTATTCATTTTAAAGAATATGCAATTTCTTCTATTCTTCATATGTATCCTATTCAAATTCCATATGGCAGAGAAAAACAAATGATTTTGAGAAATTATATCCTGATCAGAGATATAATGAGATAGCTTGTTTTATTTAAACAAAAATAACTTAAACATTACTATTACCTGATTGGCTCAGACGATCAAAGGCCATTATTTCCAGCAAATTTTGTCCAGTTTCTCCTTTCATTAACTTAACCTTTGGTCTTGGAACCTGGTAGTTTTAGAATCAAATATATTTAGTATTATTCATATTTCATTCAATTATAAAATATATCTATTACACTGTGCTTTTTAAATGGTGTATGAACAATAGATTAATGGCTAAACTGAATTGGGAAATCGCTGCAAAAACTTAAAATCACAGTCTAAGATAATGTATAAAACATGCCTAGGGAAATACTTCACAATTACTTTCTAAATCAAATGTATCTGATTTACATGTAGGAAAATAAAGAAGTTAGAAAATAACTTGTAATATACAGAATACCAGACAACCCTACTTTACACAGCCCTGAGAAGACTTAACTCTTCTTTACACAGCACTGGTAGAACTATATTTAGAAATATCATACTTTACATACATATTTTCTCCAAGAATTTGGATTATCTGAGATATCACTAAGATAAACACAACTAAGAAAGTATAAAAATTATAAGCCATATCCCATTAATTAGAAAAATATGGTATATACTTAGAATGTGAAGTGAATGGAAAAAATTATAGAAACATCCAGATAAAAAGTTTCTTAAAGGGGCCAGAGGAATAATACAGTGGGTAAGGTTCTTGTCTTGCACACAGCCAACCTAGATGTGATTCATATATCCCATAATGGTTGCGCAAACACCACCAGGAGTAATTCCTGAGTGCAGAGCCAGAAGTAAGCCCTGCACTGAGCACAGCTGAGTGTGGCCCAAAGAAGAAATAATAAAAAAAAAAAGAATTTTAAACATTTGGGGCCAGAGCCGTAGCATAGCAGGCAGGGCACTTGCCTTGCATACAGCCAACGCAGGTTCGATAACTTATGTTACTCCAAGACAGTCAGGAATGATCCCTGAGCATTACCAGGTGTGGTCCAAAAACAAAATCAAAAACAAAACATAAAAATAATAATTTTTTAGAAAATTTTTTAGAAAATTTACAAGAGGAAAAAAAAATGAACAGAAACTTTCTCAAAGAAAATATAAATGGCCTATGATCCCAGAGACTCAGAAACAAATCTCGAAACCCAGTGGCTTTTGGCAGAAATGAGTCCAGACCACACAGTACAGTAGATTACTGTTGCCGGGCCACCCCAGGGGGGAAAGAGTGTTGTCCCTCTGCCTGCTCCCCCTGGCGGCTCCGTGACAGTCATCCTCCAGAGGCCATTGGACAGTCAGGTTTGGGCCCACAGTGACGAGACATTTTGGGCCTCAAGGGATGGGGGTGGAGCCGGTCCTGTCCTCCCCACCCCAACAAGACCCCAAGTCATCGCCCACAAACGGCCTCTTTGGCTCTTGATCAAGCTGCTTAACGGCCATGATCCCAGAGACTCAAAAACAAATCTCAAAACCCAGTGGCTTTTGGCAGAAATGTGTCTGGACCACGTAGTAGGTTACTGTCGCCAGGCCACCTCAGGGGAAAGGGTGTTGTCCCTCCACCTGCTTCCCCCTGGCGGCTCAGTGGTCATCATCCGCCAGAGGCCATTGGACAGTCAGGTTTCGGCCCGCAGTGACAAGATGTGTGGGGCCTCACAGAATGGGGGTGGAGTCGGTCCTGTCCTCCCCACCCCAATGAGACCCCAAGTCATCACCCACGAACGGCCTCTCTGGCTCCTGATCAAGCTGCTTAATGGCCATGATCCCAGAGACTCAAGAGCAAATCTTGGAACCCAGCAGGTTTTGGCAGAAATTCCTTCAGATTTAAGTGTTAAAATTTCATGATTTCAAAATTGCACAGCCACTACTGCAGCCACGCGACATCATGTTATTCATAACCAGCAATAGAAAACAAATGGTCTACTGTTGCCTTTGCAACAGATCTGAGTGTTGGGGTAAAATCTCAAATAATAATGGTGGGTCTGGTGTCAAAATACTGAATGTGATCAAAGTAGAGAGAAAGTAATGTGGAAATCATCTGCCCCACGGGTAGGGGGAGGGTGGGATGGAGGTATACTAGGGTTGTTGGGGGTGGAGAATGGGCACTGGTGAAGGTACGAGTGTTTCATTGTATGACTGAGGTTTAGACCCAAAAGCTTTGTAACTGCTCTCACGGTGATTCAATAAATAAAATTATAAAAAATGAAAAAAAGAGTAAGGTGGAGTTCATGCACAATTCAATCAGCTAATCAGTGGCTGAATAAATAGCAGTACTCCTACATTAAAAAAGAAAATACAAATGGCCCAAAGGCACATGAAAAAATGCTCTATATCACTAATAATCAGGGAGATGCAAATCAAAACAATGATCAAGCACAAAAATTTGTAAGTCTACAACTGTACCTCATGGTGTTTCTCTAATAAAAATTAAAAACCAAAAAAACAATGAGATATTTCACACCACAGAGGCCTGTACACATCAAAAAAGAATAGCAACAACCAGTGCAGGCTCAGATACAAGGAGAAAGGGACTCATTCATTGCTGGTGAAAATGCTGACTTGTCCAGCCTCTCTGTGAAACAATATGGTTATTTCTCAAAATACTAGAAATCAAGCTTCCATATGACTCAGCAATACCATTCCTGAAAATACACCCTGGAGGCTCAAAAACAAATGCAGAAAAACCTTCTGCTCTTCTATGTTCATTGCAGTACTACTGATAATAGCCAGAATCTAGAAACAATCCAAGTGCCTCAGACAGATAAAAAAACTATGGTACCTTTACACAAAGGAATACTATACAGCCCTTAGGAAAAATGAAGTCATGAAATCTGCTTCTGCAAGGATGAATATGGAGTATCAAGCTGAGTGAAATGAGTTAGAGGGAGAGAGACAGACATATAATGGTGCAGTCATTTGCAGGATATAAAAAATAATATAGAGGGGGGAGGGAGAGGGAGAGGGAGAGAGAAAGAGAGAGAGAGAGAGAGAGAGAGAGAGAACACTGTTTGCCATAGAGATGGGCTGGGAGGGGATGGCAGGAGGAAAACTGGGGACACTGGTGGCGGGAAATGTACACTGGTGAAGGGACAGGTGTTGGAACATTATATGACTGAAACCCAATCATGAACAACTTTATGACTGTGCATCTCACAGTAATTCAATGGAAAAAAAAAGAAAAGCTCTGAGGGAAGAAATGGGATGGGAGAGGGAGGTGCACCAAGATATAGATGGCTTTCATCCCCCAAAAGCTCAACATACATTCTTCTCCAATGTGAGCAAGATATGAGTCAACAGGCTAGAAAAGAGAATTCATTTTTACTATAAAAACAAAGTTTAGAGGGGACAGAGATAGTACTGAGGCTAAGGCACTGTCCCTGCATGCAGCTGACCCAGATTTGATCTCCAGAATCCTATATGGTCCCCCGAGCACTGCCAAGAGTAATTTATGAGTATAAAGTCAGGAGAAACCCCTGAGCATCAGAGGTATGGCCCAAAACTAAATAAAAGTTTTGAGGTGAGGGTCACAGATATAAGCTCAAAGTAGTCAAGTACAAGCTGAAAATAAGAAAGCCTAAAATCCATCTCCATGTGATGGCTGTATGTGATGGCCATGGTGTTCTCTGTTAATAAACGCCAGAAAGATAGCTCAAAAGGTTGGAGCACATGATTTGCACAGAGGAGACAGGGTTCAACCCCAAGCATCGCGTGGTCTCCCAAATTAAATCATTATTGTTTATATTTTAATGTCTGAATTTAAAAGCTGACTACTGGGCCTCAGCGGTTTGGGCACTTGCCTTGCATACAGCCAACCAAGGTTAAATCCCTGGTATCCCACAGGGTTCCCTGAGCACCTCCAGGAATAATTTCTGAATGCAGAGCCAAGAGTAACCCCTCAGCATCATCAAGAGTGGCCCAAAACAAAAAAATTTTTTTAAAAATTGAATACTTTCCCACCCCACCGAGACCACGAGCCGTGGACCCAGAGCACACAAACCAATCTTGGAACTATGAGGCTTTTGGCAGAAATCCCACCAGACTTAATTAGTAAAATATCAGAAATCCAAAATCACGCAGCTATTATCATATGGTCTTCATAACCAGCAAGACAAAACAAATTATTTCACGATGCCTTTTCACCAGGTCTGATTGCTGGGGGGAAATTCCAAATAATAATGGTGCATCTTTTGCCGAAATAATGTAATCAAAGTAGAGAGAGAGGTAAGTGGAAGTCATCTGCCTCACAGGCAGGGGGAGGGGTGGGTTTGGGGTGTGTACTGGGGTTCTTGGTGATGAAAAATATGCACTGGTGAAGGAATGAGTGTTTGATCATTGTATGACCGAGACTTAAACCTGATAGCTTTGTAACTGTTCTCACGGTGATTCAATAATAACAGCGGCGTTGGTGGTATAGTGGCTAGCAATAATAAAAAAATAAAATAAATTAAATAAAAACTGACTGGCGAACAGAGAGATAAATGAAATAGTTGGTTCAGTAAAGGAGATAGCTCAAAGTGATAAAAATATAAGCTCACCATGCAGAAGAAGCTCCCACGTACAATCCCCTGAATCCAAACCCCAAGCACCACTGGGTATTTTGGGGGGGGGGGGGGAGGAGAAAAAGGATTAGAGCGTGTTCTTTTCAGGCTAGAACCTCAAGTTTGATTCCTGGCACCACGTAGTCCCCTCAAAAACCATTAGAAGCAACTCCTGAGCAATAAAAACCAGCCCAATATCAAAACATTAACAGTCAGCTAAAGACGATAAAAAGAGCTAACCAGGGGTTTGAGTAATAGTACAATGGGTAGGGAACCTGGCCTTGCACACAGCCAACCTAGATTCAATCCCCAGCACCCGAAGTAGACACCCGAGCCCACCAGAAGTGACTGCTGAGCGAAGAGCCAGTAAGGGCTGAGCACTATCAGGTGTGGCAAAAAAAAAAAAAAAATTCTCAGTGTATATACAAGCAAACTGTATTAACTTCACTAATTTTCGCTTATAGTTAGCTGTAGGTTGACTTTAGGTTGACCTTGAGACCACTCACTACTTTTGGACTAGTCTAACGGGCCAGCGCAATAGCATAGTGGGTAGGGCATTTGCCTTGCTTGAAGCCGATCTGAGTTCGATTCCTCTGCCCCTCTCAGAGAGCCCGGCAAGCTACTGAAATTCTGCCCACATGGTAAAGCCTGGCAAGCTCCTCGTGATGTATTCGATATGCCAAAAACAATAACAAGTCTCACAATGGAGATGTTACTTGTGCCTGCTCCAGAAAATTGATGAACAATGATGGGAGGACAGTGACAGTGAATTTTCATTAATACATTCCTAATAAACCTAAATGTTTATACGGAGCAAACAGGAACTTTAACACTGTGGCCTGAATGTCAAGTGTTTCTTAGAAAATCTAATAAGGAATCTTCTAAGAATAATTTTACAGTGAATTCTTTTTTCCTTTCTTTCATGCAAATTGATTACCACAGCTAATGATTTTTACATGACAGGACTAAGGCAAACTTAGTCTGACTATTTAACACACTATCTAACTTCTTTAAGAATTACTTCAAGTGCACTGAAAGCAGCATTGAAAGCAGGCCTAGAAATGTAGCTCGGCAACAGACAGAGCACTTGCCTTGCATGTGTGAACCCTGGGCACAACGAGGGAAGTGGAAAGTGAAGGGCAAAAACTGCAAAAGTGTTAGTAAAGAAGACAAACATTTCAGTGCTTATACACCTTAACCTGGGGTAGGGAATGTGGCTCACGTATGAACCCTGGGACTGTTTTTTTTTTTTTTAATTTTTATTAGTGAAACACCATGAGGTACAGTTGTAGACTTAGAAATTTTTGTGCCTGGGTTTCAGTTATACAATGATCCAGTACCCATCCCTCCACCAGTCCCCATTCTCCATCAGTTTTTTTTTTTTAATTTTTGTTAGTGAAACACCATGAGGTACAGTTGTAGATTTGCAAATTTTTGTGCTTGGGTTTCAATTGTACAATGATCAAACACCCATCCCTCCAAGAGTGCCCATTTTCCACCACCACAGGTCCCCTGGGACTGTTTAAAAAAAAAAAGGATAAGACCAACATTTTGTTTTTCTTCATTACATGTTTTGTTTCCAAAGAGATGAATCTGCTGTTATAGATCATATAAGTGTCTTAAATGTTAGATAAAGAAAGTTTTTTTTTCAATGAACTTGCTAAATCATATTCTTCTTTCATATGTAATTATGTCCCCTAAATTTACTTAGGACTTTTGCCCAAGTTACACTGTATCTTTTTTTAATCAAGTTTTGCCTATTTGAGATTATTTATCAGATTCGCAGAAATGGCAAAGAACATCAAACCCTCCAAGTGGTCTTCCAATAAATCATAGCAGCATGTCTGCCACCAAAGGAGCAAAGTATGTTACTTGTATCTATCAAACTATTCCAACTTTACTCATAAAAGTTTGTTCGCATTCTCATTATATCCAGGATTCATCTTTCACCGTGTGAATTACAAATTCAGTGAAACGTCATTTGCACCCAAAAATGGAAGAGGCTTACCTGAAATGCTAAGAGATAGCACAATGCAGCCAGCTCAGAGAGAGCTCGCCACTGCACATCACTATGCTGACCCATCTTCAAAAGCAGAGAACCAGCATGCATGTAGAAATGTCCTTTTATTTCTAAGAAAGTAGCTGAGAGTTCATCATTTCCACACACACAAGATTTCACAGAATGAAGAGCACTGTCAAAACTGTAGGAGTAAAATATTAAGCAGGAATTAAACCTTTTATTTTAAATGATCATTTCATTATTAAATTCAAAATGTAACAGAAGTTTGTTTCAGGCTTTATTTTTCATGTGCAAACTCTAATAATTATTCTTTAATAAATCATCAATCATCTACCCTTATCCTGTGCTTTCTGAACTTCAACTTTAAACCACAGAACTGTTTCTTCTCCCAAAATAGCTATTTCAAGAGGCAAAAGCAATAGTACAGAGGGTAAGGCACTAGCCTTGCACACTACTGAACCTGGGTTTGATCCCCTGTATCCTATATGGTCCTCTGAGCACTGCCAGGAATGATTCTTGATTGCAAAGCCAGATGTAATCCCTGAATACTGCCAGATGTGTCCCAAAAAATATTTTTTTTAAAAAAAGCTATTTCCAGTCTTCCAATTATAAAACAGAAACTAGTAAGATTGTTGATTACAGTGGATCATAGTAGTGAACCAGAATAAAACTGGAAACTAAAGTATTTTCTAGTTTTAACTGGATATTTAATTCAAAGTTAGCACTTTTCAAACTATAATCACCATCCTAAATTATAAGTAACTGGTAAAATATCTGGGTTATAGGTACTTTAGTTTCTCTTCTCACTATCTACATAGACACAAGTTAAATAAATTATATTTCTAATTGATTTGCAATCTTCGTACTAATTAGTATTTCTAAATCCTCAATGTTCTCACAATCTTCATTTTATGGAAAGAGAGTTCCAGGGGCAGGAGAGACAGCACAGTGGGTAAGGTGTTTGCCTTGCACACAAATGACTCAGGTACAATCCCTAGTATTTCATATGGTCCCTGAGCTCTACCATGAGTGATTTCTGAGTGCAGAGCCAAGGAATAATCCTGGAGCGTTGCCAGATGTGGTCCAACGCAAAAATAAGAGCTTTAAGAACCCTACAAATCACTGGTGGAGAGATAGGTATACAATCATTGTAACAACTGAAACCCAAGCACAAAAATTTGTAAGTTTACAATTGTACCTCATGGCGTTTCACTAATATATAAATAAAAAGTAACATTAATAAAAAAAAGAAGAAAAAACTACAAATTCCATTTAAAAAACCCATCAAGAGACTGAGGGGATACAATTATTTTTACAGTACTACGACAAAATTTTTTTGTTCTTGTACATATGACCAAAAATTTGAGTACAAAGGGAATACAACAGAAAATTTCTTAAATATTTTTTACAACAATCAAATTTCAAACTAACTTTTACACACTACTTTTACCCTACTATCCTGTCATAGAACACTAAAAACTTTAAGAAAATTATTTCTTCTTCCACACATCACATTACAAAGAACTTTACATTAGTCAAAGGAAAACACAAATACAGTCAAAGAAAGACAATTTAGTCAAAGGAAATGACAAATACAATTTTCAGACAAATACAGTCTAAACCAGTAGTTATAACAAAGATTAGAAAAAGATAAAACAAATTTATCTCTAAAAGCATACAATTTCTGTCTCAAGTGCTCAACTCCACCATTAATAGTTGTATAAATAGTTATAGACAACATATAACAAAAAGGCATGATTGTGTTTCAAAAAAAAGTTTAACAAATTAGGCACTACAACAAAAAACAAAAATTAGGCATCAGAGCAGGAGTACAGTAGGTTGGTCACTTGCTTTGCATATAGCCAACTGGAGTTTAATCTCCAGCATCCCAAGTAACCCCATGAGTGATCCCTGAATGCAATACAGAGCAAGGTGTAAGCCTTGCCTACTACCAGGTATGCACCACCTTCCACCCTCCCAGCAAAAAAAAAAAAAAAAAAATCAGACATCAAGTCATATTTCGTTAACAAGTTCTAATCAATCCCTGCTCTAAACAAACATCTTTATATTAGTCCAAGCAGTACTTTTGTTCAATGGAATTTCTTTTAATAAAGCAGAGATACTGGTTCTCAAAATCAAAATTTAGGAAAAATAAAATACTGTACTATATTTTAGGACCACTTTTGTTTGTTTTTGTACGCTGGAGCTCATACCCAAGGCCTCACACAGTAAAGGCAAGTGATCTCCTGCTTATCAACATCCAAGGCCCGACTGTGTGTGGGAGTGGGTGTGGGGATGTGGGTGTATGTGTCCGACTATACATAATTATATTATATATATACATACACTGGAGAGATATATGGGCTGGAGAGATAGCACAACGGGTACGGATAGCATACAGCCGACCCGGGTTCAATTCCTCTGTCCCTCTCGAAGAGCCCAGTAAGCTACTGAGAGTATCCCACCCGCATGGCAGAGCCTGGCAAGCTCCCCGTGGCATATTCGATATGCCAAAACAGTAACAAGTCTCACAATGGAGACGTTACTGGTGCCCGCTGGAGCAAATTGATGAACAATGGGAGGACAGTGCTACAGTGCTATGCACACATATACATACATATATACATGTATTTTGAAGGGGGAGGTTATCTGTTTGGGAGCCACACCCAACTGTGCTCAGTGCTTACTCCTGGCTCAGTGCTCAGAGAACCATCTACTATGCTAGAGATTGAACCCAGATCAGTCACGTACAAAAATGATAACCTACTGTACTATCTCTCCAGTTCCATATCACTTTATAAAGTACTGAAATAGAACTAAAGAGGTAATACTTGAGCATTTGACAAATATTTTCCTGACTTTCACTGACATGCATCATTTTGCATAATTCCAAATTATAAAAAATAGAACATTCCTTTACAAGCTTGACCTTAACAAAACATACCGAAACTTCACAATGAAGTATGAGAATAACTCAATTACGGGTGGAAGAACAGCCAGAGGTTAAAGTGCTTGCCGTACACACAGTTGATCCCAGTTCACTCCATGGTACCACATTTGTCCCGAGCACTGAACCAAGAGTAGTCCCTCAGCAGTGTCAGGTATGGCCCCAAAACAAAAACTAATTACTAATTTCCACCTCCCCCAAATGTAACAGTGCAAAATTCTTGAACCAATACAACGAATTACTACAGAAAAAATCTGTAATTTACTCTGAAGAACATACCTTTCCAATAATTCTCTACTTTCTTGCACATCTCTAGTAGAGAGCGTAAGAAACATAAGGTTAGCATAGGCTAGAAGTAAGTCTTTATTGGTTGCTCGCCAGTTACTTTTATCAGATTCCAAATACTGTGAAGAGTCTAGATATTCCTAAATTACAGAAAAAGAAATGTTATAGAATTGATCATTTTATGCCAACCATTTCCTTTGCCCACTCTGTTCTCTGTAAAACTCCTATAAAACTTTTATACTCATTATAAATTTAAATAGGGCTAGAGCAATAGCATAGCGGGTAGGGTATCTGCCTTGTATGCAGCGAACCTGGGTTCAATTCCTCTGCCCCTCTCAGAGAGCCCGGCAAGCTACCCAGAGTATCCCACCCACATGGCAGAGCCTGGCAAGCTCCCTGTGGTGTATTCAGTATGCCAAAAACAGTAACAACTAATCTCACAATGGAGACATTACTGGTGTCCCGCTTGAGCAAATTTATGAACAATGGGAGGACAGTGCTACAGTGCTATAAATTTAAATCATAATAATAAAAATTTCACTGACTAGTAAACTGATCCATACAACTAAGTTGGGGGAGGGGTTTAGGAAGGGGTACACTGGTGATGCAGTGTGGTGTTGGAATTATGTGCACAAGAAATCATCATTAATAGCACGGTAAACCACAAAATCAATTGCAATTTTTAATAAATTTAACAAGGCTGGGAAATTAATAAATTAAATAAAAATGAATTGAAAATCAATATTCAAAAAAGACTAATTATAAATTGAAATTATAGTAAAAATTTTATTTCTTAATTGTTACAACGAATGAAAGAAATTTAAATAGTAAAGAACACTGGTTAAACATAAAGAAATGTCTGGCAATTGTCAAGTGTCTGGAACTGTAGAAATTCAATAGTTTTTACTTACTTTGAGAGTCTTCACAACGCATGAATTCCACTCTAAACTTGAACGCAAAGCTGTGCTTCTCTCTGCCTCATGGCAGTGAGCCACAGCGTCCTTCAGTCTCCTATTTGAGCGATACAGCTCTACTAGACGAATGTTGACATGGACATCATCAGGTCTTGCATAAAGTTCTGATTGAATCAAGTCAAAAAGTTTATTCCATCCATCTTCACCTTTACAATCTAAAAGCTGTTCCTATTAAAAAAAAAAGATTAATTTAGAAAGATATCCGAACACTTTTCAAATAGATTATGGCTTCTATATATACCATTCCACTGTCTCAAATCTTAGTAAATTAGATACCTTATCAGTGCCCCCCCTTACACACCCCTTTTTCAGAATTGGTTCCTATCTAGAGACTAAATCTGAAGAAATATATTTGAAGAAACATCTGGGCAACGTAGTTGCAATGTAACTCTTGGATCACTCAGCAGATTCTGATAAGTAAGACTACTGGCCATAGTCCTGTATATCACCATTACTAAAGGAAAGGTTTCCCCAGGCATCCTCTTATCAGTGTCCTTAACCTCAAAACCACACTTGAACCTAGCTAAATCTGATTCCAGTTCCCACTACATTCACGATTTGCAGCTCTGACTGGTTCCACTATCATTTCAAAAGTCTTCATCTGCTAATCTTAACTGAATATAGAGAATCATCTTGAGATAGTACACATCACTACCTGTCCTGGTGCCTTTTCTTCCACTAAACAACACTGATTAATTTCTATCCTACACACTGCTCTCAACATCACGCACAAATCCTATCACCCCAGAGTCACACACTGACAGCTCTGTTTCCTAAAGGACATGCTATTCACATCAGTTTTCATCTTCAACAAATATGACAGACATTAATGACTGACAGATGTACAGGTTATCCAAGAGCCTAGCTCCTCAGCATTCATACACACTCCAGTGTCAGTCATTCAGTTTTCAAACCCTGTACTTTGGTCGTCCCACTCATACAATACAGGCCATTTTATCAAGCCCAGGAACTGCCTCTGGCGCCATGATAAGCTCATGAACGGCCATGACCCAGAGATACACAAGTAAATCTCAGATGAGACCAACAAGCTACAGACATGCCTCTAAGACCCCAAAGTCACCATCCAGTTAAAAATTGAACTCCAGCTATATCACCTAATTTAAAATTTTAGAATTCCTGGAGCACCTCATATTCTACGCCACTGATGTACCAAGAGTAGTAGACCACACTGGATGGGGTTTAAAGCAAAAGGCAACCAATCTCGATCAAATAAAATATTAGCACACAAGGCCCAACCTGTAACAACATGTTAGTAATCTCTTATACAAACAAGAGCTTAACGTCTCCAGGGTAAGATACAACAATCTTCACACACTTTCCTCTAAGGAAACTTTTTGGAATCATATTTAGTGGATTTAGTGGGTTATTAGTGGATTTGTATTATACATGCCAATATAAAATAAATTATTTAGGATCAGCCTTTGGAACAGGCTTGTACTATGGCAGAAAAATTCAAAATAATGGTGGCGATCAACCTTATAAAAATAAAAATATTTAAATTTAAAATACAGAAACTAAATTAAATTTTTAAATTTTTTTTTTTTTGCTTTTTTTTGGGGGGGTCACACTCGGCGATGCACAGGCATTACTCCTGGCTCTGCACTCAGGTCCTGGCGGTGCTCAGGGGACCATATGGGATACTGGGAATCGAACCCAGGTTGGCCACGTGCAAGGCAAACGAACGCCCTACCCACTGTGCTATCTCTCCAGCCCCTAAATAAAATTTTTTAAAAACATTTTACTCTTCTATTTCAACAGGTTCTCCACAGTCGTAGTGTCTTGAAAATCTGCCTATACCACATGAAAAATTCCCTTCAATAAAATGATAACACCAAATACATTCATAGAAGTTATCATAAAATACCTTCTCTGTCAAGCAAAAAATACCCTAATATCTAATACCCACAATTACGGCTTTCTTCTATGTTCCTCTTCTAGCCAGAGCTCAAAGGGCTGGAGTGTATGCTTTGCCAGGAGGGACTCCTACCACTGAGAAGGAAGTAGCTCCTAAACAACATTAAATATGGCTCAATCCAAAAGAAAAATGGAAAAAAAATCCATATGCTTTTACTTGGACCTATCTAATAACAACTGAACAAGTAGATACAAGATCACCTGAAAAGTTGAAAAACTCAAAATCATAACTGCTTCCATTCATAATCCCAAATCTCAAAGTGAAGTTGAGAACAAAATGCTATTTTAATTCTTATCATTTCTCCATTCCTTCACTTCATTTTTCTTTCCTCAAATTTCCCTGAGATTTTCTTCAACTCTTACATTTCGAACTTACAGCAAGCCATCCTTCACTAAGAAAACTAAAATTGACATATATAAATTGCACTTTACCTAATTTTCTTGTACTATCTTCTCCCTGCTCTCTCCAACTAACAATGAATAAGCTCTGGATTTCACTCACCTTTCTCAATCAACCATTTCTCTCCTTCTAAATCATTTCTATAGTTTATTTTGAATCTTAAAAAAAAAAAGCCCCAAAACAAAAGAACATAGGTGAGTATAACACTATGGTAGATGTGGCAGAGCACGTGCCTAGCATGTGTGAGTTTATCCCTAGCACATGAAAGAAAAAAAAAATGGAAAGACTGGAACAAATTATACATAAAAGAAGGCAGGTCACTGAGCCAGTTAAAGGAGGTAAGGAGCTTGCCTTGGTTATAGTCAAACCAGTTCAATCCCTGCCACCACATACGGTCGTTTGAGCAGAGCCAGGAGTGAGCCCTAAGCACAAAGCCCAGACAGGAGTGATGTCTGATAGTGGTGTGATGGGGCTGAGATCTAATGTTGGGTAAACTATACACATGGAATTTGATCATGGCTGATTGTAAAGCTGGGCTCTATGAATAACTTTGTAAATTACAGTACCTCAAATAAAAATTTTGAAAAAAAAAAAGTACAAGGGACTGAAGAGCTAGAACAGCAGGTAGGGCATTTGCCTTCCATAAGGCCGACCTGGGTTCAATTTCTAGCATCTAAAATGGTTTCCCAAGCAGCATTTAGAGTTAATTCTTGAGCCAGGAGTAACCCCTGAAACAGATGTATCTCCAAAACAAACAAAAAATGCCCCCACAAAAAAAAAACACATTGCAAAAAACTGAGAAAGAACAGGATGGAAAGAGTAAAAATGTGGAAAAAGGCAAAAACTGAAGAACCTGAAGAAAGAAGTACTGGACCAATGTGCAGTAGTTGGGAAGGTAGAATATTTCCTGAAGTGAAAAGGATATGCAAAAGATGTTTATGTGCAAAAAAAGTTTAATGTAATCTAAAATCTTCACATACATGTACAGATACACATATATCCATATAAAACTGGAATTTGGTTTTGATTTACTAGTGTAAATAACTGCATTACATTCGTAGCATTGTGGGGCTGGAGCAGGTAGGGCTCTTGCCTTGCCTTGCCTTGCACATGGCCTACCCAGGTTCAACCCCCAGCAGCTCGTAAGGTTCCCCAAGCCCAACAGAAATGAGCAGTGGTAGGTATGGGTTGTATCCCTATCATGGCAAAAGCAAACAAATACAATCACCCTCTATAAGAAACGCATAGTAAGGGGAGTGCTGGAAATAATACCAACAAAGACTGCCTCCAGAAGCAACCCATAGTAAAAAAAACTGAGAAAGGCTGCCTCCGGAAGCATCCCAAAGCAATAAGCTATATTCCAGTCAGTACACAGCTATCATCGCTGGTTAATACATGAGCGACATTTAATCATTTTTAGTAAGCATAACATAATTTGAAAATGGCCTTTTTTTAGCCTTTGCTTGAAAACCTCCTACCCCATGACACAATTCTTTCCATTTTTACAGAATGCTTATTTTTAAACTTAACAACCCTAAAATGTCATTCTATGGGTAATTTTCACTCAATGGAGAGAAGTAATTTATCTAAGACTGAGCTAGTTTAACTGTTAGCTCAGTCAAAGATACGTCAACAGGATAGAGTGCATCCTTTGCATGCCAAGAGGCCCAGCTTCCAGTCCCAGCACTACATGGTCACAAGCATTGCCAGGGTTGACTCTCAAACAGTGAGCTCAGAGTGGCTCTGACCATGCCTAATGTGGCCAAACACATACATAAGATAATAGCTCCAGTTTCCAGTTATAAATCTGTGAAATGACAAAAGTATTCTGTACAGACATTCTGTACAAACATGCTGGATAGCATTTATAAAGCATAATCATCATCATCATCATCAACATCATCATCATCTGACCAGAAATGGTTTAGAATTTGAAAAAAATTTTGGCATCCCCCTACCCTTTGTTTTTCCAAATTACCAGAAGTCACAAATGTGGTTGTGGTGCTAGATCACTTGCTTATAATTCCAAGGACCACACTAACAGAGCTAAGGATTACTTTCAGGGTCGCACAGAGCTCTACATTTGAACAAATACAGATAAAAGCCATTATTTTTTATGTAAATATAACTGACATATAAAACTGTATTCGTTAAGTATACACCATGTTTGGTTTATACTGTGAAATAAAATTTAGTTAAAATCTAGCAACTCATAGTTACAAATTAATTTTTCCTGCATAATTATTTTTAAGACTTATTCTCTTAGCAGTTTTCAAATAAACCACACATCTCTTTAACTATAGTCACCATGCTTTACACTTTATCTCCAGAACTTACAACCTAGTTAATAACTTTTGACCTCATTGACCCATTTCCTTCTTTAGCTCCTCCCTTGACCATATACTGGTTTAGTTTGATCCTTAAAAAAGAAATTAAACTACCGAGTATTTAAAAACTGCTTAGATTCACTAAATATTTTATGTTCAGTTTTTTTACCTTCAGTTTATAAACTGCAGTACTTCCAGGGAAAAGTTTAGCTGCTCTTTCAACCCAGTATTTTGCTCTGCCATCGGCAACATCATTTTTACAAAGCAATTCTGCAATCTTCAGCACAAGATCTTTCTGAGTTGGATTTAATTCCACTGAACGCTATTACCAGAAAAGAAAATAATTAGTATGATTCCCAAAGCAGAATTAATCATAACACATAAACTATAAATTTATCACTGCCCCCATCCAACACACTCCTAAAATTACATGTTATCTTGAAGTTATTAAAATAAGGGGTCTACAAATGTTGGCCACTCAATACCTCTATTGCAAACCACAACACCCATAAGGATAGAGATAGAACAAAAGGGAATGCCCTGCCACAGAGGCAGGGTGGGGGGGGCGGGGGCATGAAGTGGGGGTGATGGGAGGGACACCGGGATCATTGGTGGTGGAGAACGGGCACTGGTGAATGGATGGGTACTTGATCATTGTATGACTGAAACGTAAGCACCAAAGTTTTTAAGTCTGTAACTGTACCCCACGGTGATTCATTAAAGAAATCAAAAAGCAAAAAATAATAATAATAATAGTAATAAAATGAGGGGGTCTAAGAAATAGCTCAATGGGCTAAGCTGATTCTTTGCATGCTTGTCCCAGCTTGATGCCCTAGATATATGGTTCCCCAACCACTACCACTGGGAGTAACTGAAGAACACAGAGCCTGGAGTAACTCTTGAGCACTGCCAGAAGTTATCCCAGAGCGCAGAACCAGGAGTAAGCCCTCATCACTGCCAGATTTGGCCCAAACACAAGAAAGAAGAAACTGTGATATATATATACACAATGGAATGCTGTAAGATGAAACATATAATTTGCTGCCGTGTGGAAGAAACTAGAGGGTGTCACACTGAGTAAAGTCAGTCAGAAGTAGAGGGACAAATACAGAACAATTTACCTCACACGTGGGATAGAAATACAGTAAGAAATAAACAATCAATGACAACAAAAAGGAAGACCTGGCCCATACAACTGAGTCTAGGTATAATGGGACCACAGAACATTGGTAGAAGGACACAAACACTAGTGGTGAGTATGGTATTGAAACACGAAACTGTCAGCAGTATTGTGAAGCATAGTGCCTAAATAAAACTTGAAAAAAATTAATTTAGCATATTTAAGGGCAAATAAAATACTATGCCAAGCTGTCGCTCAACAGTAGTGTGACAAAAAAATGATGATATCGCAATTACTTACTATATTATTACTTTGAGGACCACTTATGTTCGTGCAAGAGCTATTCCTTTTACACAGCTTACCTTATAACATTCGACAGCTTTTTCTATGTTTTCCTCTGCTTCATAAAGAAGACCGAGAAATCTGTGGGCTTTGGGATCCCTTTCTTGCACATTAATATATGTAGATATGTACCTATTCAAAAATAGGACCAAAAAATCTTTAAATTATCACATTTAGATATATAGAAATGCTAACAGAAAGCCATTGTTTTTAAACAAAATAACCACCAAGATCATTCATATTGTCAGGCTAATTATTAGTTATCATTATTTAAACTAGATAATGCCAGTATCTACAGAATGAAAGGTGTAATAAATACTTACTACTCAGTAATACATACAAAATTGACAACACTACACCATTAAACAATCCATTAATATCTTTCCAGGGCTGCACTCAGAGGTAAACACATAAATTGCTGCTCCTTCTTGATTGTATTTTGGAAAAGCAATAAATAATTTTGCACAGGAATCATAAACTACATTATAATATTTTCCATTGTCTTTTGGTCCACACCCAGCAGTGATCAGGGCTTACTTAAGATTCATCCAGTTAGGGTGCTGGTAATAGAACCCAGGTCAGCTGCGTGCAAGTACAACTATTTCTGAATTTAACATAAAGATATTTAATAATAAAGAGAGACAATTTCCCAAGTATCAATTTCTTAAATGTCATACATTCGTTTTTTAAGCAACTGATCACTGGGCAGAAAGTTGTGTCTTGTGTAAAGGCTATTTTTAAATTTTAAAAATCACAATTTTGCCCAGTGATCAGTTTGATTTTGTATTCACTGCAATTTTCCAGTCAATTAAAGTATCAGGTACTGAATTAGAAAGAAATTAAGATGTATGCATGCTCTCTTTAATTCTAATATAGTCTAATATATTCTAAATATATTCTAAAAAGTGAGCCAAAAAGTTTCTTGCCCTAAGAATAAAAAAGCAGCAGGCATAGAAAGACACTCATTCCAGACACAATAACAATGAAATTTAGGCAAGTCCTAACATTCATTCAAGAGATGAATTTTTAAATACTATAGGGCTGGAGCGATAGCACAGCGGGTAGGGCGTCTGCCTTGCACGCAGCCAACATGGCCGACCCGAGTTCGATTCCTCCGCCCCTCTCGGAGAGCCCGGCAAGCTACCGAGAGTATTGGATATGCCAGACACAGTAACAACAAAGTCTCCAATGGAGACGTTACTGGGCCCGCTCGAGCAAATCGATGATCAACGGGAGGGCCTTTACTTTACTTTACTTTACTAGTACAAAGACTTGCTTTAAAAAAAAATAAAATACAAACAGAAACGTATCTTTATCCATTTTATAGAACATGAAGTAAAGGCACTGACTTCAGAAATTCAAAACTAGGGCTGGAGAAGGCTTCCTTGCATGTAGCTGACCTGGGTTCAATAGCCAGCCCCAAATATGACATCGTTGAGCACCACCAAGGAATACTGAGTACAGAGCCAAGAATAAGCCCTGAACACCTCTGGGTAAGCCCCCTCCTCAAAAAAGGAAGGAAGGGGAAGATTGGGGAAGATTGGGAAAGGGAGGGGGAAAGAAGTCTAAAATCACATTTACAGTTTGGTACTTACTTTTTAGCAAGATCATATTCTTTAGCTTCATAGTACAATTTTGCAAAATAGAATCCTTTCATTGACTTCTGAGGGGAAAAAAAGAATTTTACTTTATTATCATTTTTCCTGTTAAAGGAAATTGAGATTTCCTTTTTTATTTCCATAAGCACCAAAGTTCAGAATGTTAGAAAATATGGGGGCTGGAGTGATAGCACAGCGGGTAGGGCGTTTGCCTTGCATGCGGTTGACCCGAGTTCGATTCCCAGCATCCCATATTGTTGTCCCCTGAGCACCACCAGGGGTAATTCCTGAGTTCAGAGCCAGGAGTAACCCCTGTGCAGTGCCAGGTGAGACCCAAAAAGCCAAAAAAAATAAAAAACAGAATGTTCGAAAATATGAATATCACATACAAGTATAAGAGTACAGACATCAAACATCTTGTTTTATAAAACTATATTAGACACAAAATCAAGAAAAAGGCTGGTATTTCTAACTTTTTTTTCCTGAGACAGCCAAACAGAAAACTATTTTTATGGATGAGCTACTGTTAATCGTTACTGTGTAAGTACTCAACATTCAGCAATCAGAACATTTTTTCATGATAAGAACAATAGTGGGCTGGAGCTATAGCACAGCGGGTAGGATGTCTGCCTTGCACTTGGCCAACCTGGCCAAGCCAGGTTCAATTCCTCCCTCCCTCTCAGAGAGCCTGGCAAGCTACCGAGAATATCTCTCCCGCACAGCAAAGCCTGGCAAACTACCCGTGACGTATTCAATATGCCAAACACAGTAACAACAAGTCTCATGATGGAGACGTTACTGGGCCCACTCAAGAAAATAGATGACAAATGGGAGGACATTGCTACAGTGCTAAGAACAATAATATCAAAACCCAGTATTTAGCATATTTTTCCCTTTTTTCAGAAGTGTTATTATTTGGTGCCAAAAGTGTACTGAGGTGGGGAAAGTGGGAACCTTCTGAATTCCTGGTTATTGATAGAGTTGTAGAATTATGAATTGACTGGAAATCAATCTTATACTACCTCCTAGGGAATCGAAGATTTTTTTTAATTAAAAAAAAAAAAACTTTAAAAAATATATTCAAAGTTAGTATCTTATCCTTAGTGGGGTTTCTTTGAAGACCATTTAGTATTACTTGCAAAACTGATTTGTGGCCATCAATTTCTGTAAATTTTAATTTATCTGAAAAGCTTTTTAGCAATCCTTAAAAAACAAGTCATACCCTAGTACTGGCTGGATTTTTTTTTTTTTTGGCTTTTTGGGTCATACCTGGCGATGCACAGGGGTTATTCCTGGCTCTGCACTCAGGAATTACCCCTGGCGGTGCTCAGGGGACCATATGGGATGCTGGGAATCAAACCTGGGTTGGCCGCGTGCAAGGCAAACGCCCTACCCGCTGTGCTATTGCTCCAGCCCCGGATTATTTTTTTTAATTCCTCACATTGGCAATCTCGGACTATTCCCTTCTGTCCTATAAGTGCTTCATTTGATACATCTACTGTGATTTTTTTTTTTTGTTTTTTGGGTCACACCCACCGATGCACAGTCATTACTCCTGGCTTTGAACTCAAGAATTACTCCTGGAGGTGCTCAGGGGACCATGCTGGGAATCAAAGCCATTCGGCAAAGCAAAAGACCTACTTGCTGTGCTATCACTCCAGCCCCTCTACTTTGATTGTTATGGCAATCCCTTATATGTCTTTATCCCCTTTTAAGGCTCTTCAAGAGTTTGTCATTTTAATTACAAGTGGCTTAATGTTAACCTATTTAATTTTTGGGAAAACTCTAGGTTGCCTGATCTAAGTATACATCTCCTTCACATTGGGAAAGTTCTAGCAAACTTGAGAGATAGTACAGCAGGTAAGACGCTTGCCTTGCACGCAGCTGACCCAGGTTTGATCCCCAGCATCCCATATGATCTCCTGAGCACTGCCAGGAGTAATTCCTGAGTGCAAAGCCAGGAGCAACTCCTTCACATTGTGGGTGTGACCCAATAATTTAAAAAGAAAAGAATAGGGAAGTTCTCAGCTATTCTATTTTCAACCAGTAATTCTTCTTTTATTCCTTTCTCTGGAACTATAAATGTATAAAGCTATATAAATGTAGTTTCTCTTAACACTCTCCCATAAACCTTAAATTTTATCTCTTTTAAAATTTTTTTTACTTATTTCTATTCTTTATTTCTGGGTGTTTTTCCTTCCTTATCCTCACGCTGACTAATCTGAGCATCTATTTCAGACATTCTACTTAAGGACCCCTATTGTGGTCTTTAGTTCTCGACAATATTCTTTGGCTCAATGACTTCTGAGTTTTTCTCATATTTTCTGATTGTGTTGAAGTTCTCTTCCACTGATTCTTCAATTCATTGTGTCCTTAGAAATGTGAAAACTTCCAGCACTGTAGCACCATCCTCCCGTTGTTCACTGATTTGCTCAAGAGGGCACCAGTAACATCTCACAACAAATTATGAGACTTGTTGTTACTGTTTTTTGGCATATCGAATACGTCATGGGTAGCTTGCCAGGCTTTGCCGTGAGGGCGAGATATTCTCGGTAGCTTACCGGGCTCTCCGAGAGGGGCAGAGGAAGTTTAAAGTACTCTGGTCTGCTTGGGGGTCCTTCCCAGACCTTTATCTTTGTCCACTGTGTAGGTTAATTCCTTTTTCCTTCCGCAGTGCACGAGAGGGACTATTGGTGACATACAAATCTGCACAGCTAATTACTAATTATAGAGACTAGGTTTCTGAGTCTAAGAGGATCTTCATGACTGTTGGGACTCAACCATCAGTGTAATAGCTACAAATGCTCTAGAGAAAGACTCCAGAATCTGGGCTGTAACCCAGAACTCCCAGGTGCTGATGTATAGTGGCTACCAGTAGAACTCTGTTGATCAGGGAGTGGCTAGGGGTTTAGAGATCTGATTGCCCATCAATAACTACAGCACCAAGCTGACGTGTAGCTATCAAGGTGTTTGAACTTGATAGCACCTGGTAGAAATTGTAATGCCAGGCTCAAGAAGTCCTGGGAAATATCTGGTGGCACAATGTTAAGTCTTGTGGCACCAAGTTTTGTTTATTTTAGATGTGCTCCGGGCTGGAGTGATAGCACAGTAGGTAGGGCATTTGCCTTGCACGCAGCCAACATGGCCAACCCGAGTTCGATTCCTCCGCCTGTCTCAGAGAGCCCGGCAAGCTACCGAAAGTATCTCGCCTGCACGGCAAAGCCTGCCAAGCTACCCGTGACGTATTCAATATGCCAAATGCAGTAACAAGTGTCACAATGCAGACGTTACTGGGCCCGCTCGAGCAAATCGATGAACAACGGGAGGACAGTGACAGTGCTCCAATGCATCCTCCAAACTTTAAAAAGATCCTCTATACATGTTATCTGCTACTGAAGATGCAAATATTAAAAGTCTTGGAAGCCAGAAGATCACATTATGCATGCTGCTACATTCACTACACCTTCACAAGCACTCAGGGAAGTTCCCCAGACTGCTGCATGCTGCTGAGGATTGCAACAATAAACTGGAACTGCAGTATATGAAGACAGAAGCAAACTCAACAGGCTGGGGCACATGCAATATGCATGTTTGACCACCAGCATCATAAGTGGGGTTCTAATGGCCAGAACAATAGTACAGTGAGGAGGGTGTCTACCTTGCATGCAATTGACCCAGGTTCAATCACCTGCAGCCCATATGGTACCCAGAGCACCACCAACAGCAATTCTGAATGCAGAGCTAGGAGCAACCCCTGAGCATTGTCGGGTGTGATCCCTCCAAAAAAATAAATAAAAGCAAAACAAGAAGCCCCTGAGCTACTACGAGTGACCCCTAAATACCAGACTGGGAACAACCCCTGAACATTGCCAGGTATGTGCCCTAAAAAAAAAAAAAAAAAACTTGTATTTTTAAAAGTATATTGAAGTTATGATCTCATCGGCCACCCTCCAGAACTCACAGCTGCTTCTCCCGGAAGAAAGCACAAAATGGGACTCCCATAACCATGCCACCGAACTCCATGCCAGGCTATTTTCACTTGGGGTGCCCCAGAGTGGGGCGGGTGACAGCCCTCTCCACCCCAAGGAACCCAGCCCTGGCAGCCGACCTCCACTACCCACCTGCCACCATGCTCCAGGTCGCTTTCCAGATGCTTGGGCCAAGCCTCACGCATGAGTGAAGCCACATGAAACCCAGGTAATGCGGAACTTTGTGACCCTGGACTCTGGGCCCAATGGGACCCGGGAGCAGAGATCCCCTGCCCTACTTCCCCTGTCTCCAAAGTCCCAGGGGTCACACCCAGATGGTCACTCCCTGCTGGAGCCAGATGATCTCATCGGCCACCCTAGACACTTTCTACCTTTTTCCATTAATTATCACATCATATTTGGTGGGGTTCAGACAGTAGGCAACAAATTTCGAGAGAAATATATAATATATATACATATATATATATATATATATATGCCTCTCAGAGAGTGGCAGGCTACTGAGAGTGTCCCGCCTGCGCGAACAGAGCCTGGCAAGCTCCCCGTGGCATGTTCGATGTGCCAAAAGCAGTAACTATAACAGGTCTCCTGACCCTGACCCTGAAAGAGCCTCTAGTTATTGGGAACGATGCGTAAGAAGACGCTGTTAAATTATCAGGGCTGGGACAAATAGAGACGTTACTGGCACCTGCTCAAGTACACTGAGGACCGGGATTACAGTGATATAGTGGTCACCCTCAGACAGAGTCTCCTGCCCCAGCGCCTGGCTGCCCTCACCAGAGCCCCTTAGATGGGGGCAGGTTGAGTTTCCCTCCCGCCCCAAGCAGAGTCCCCACAGCTGAAGACCTCCAGAACCCAGGCACAGCCAGGCTTAAGACCACTCTCCACACACTGGGATGAGCCTCACACATGAAGGAACCATCAGAGGAACCCAGGTATGCAGAACCTGGGGCTCAGATCTCCAAGCCTACTCAGATAGGGACTGGGCCTCCTCCAGCCAGATCCCCCATCCCATCTTCCAGTAACTAGACAGTTATACCCACCAACTGCCCCACAGCACAGTGTAACATCCCATC